ATATATATATATATATATATATATATATATATATATATGGATATTCGTTTTTAAGATTATATAGTTAAAGAATCAAAATAAGTAACAAAATAATTAAAATTAAAAATAGCTAAATTATTTATATTTATTTCGATAAACAATTTTATCACATTGATTTGTTTATATACTTATTACATTTTTAATTATTAGAATAGTACTCGTGCAATGCAGCGAGATACATCTCGAGTTTAATATTTTATTTTATTCTTTGTTTATGTCCATGTTATAATACGATTTTATGTGTTTTTAAGAAAACAATAATGATTTTATTTTTGAATAAAATATAAATTTGAAAAAAAAAATTATCAATGTTATCAACTATTTAAAAGTTCTTATTTTTTATGTAAGTTTTTTAATTTATTTTTTTATTATAATTTAATTTAAGTTTAATAATGAAACAATTTATTTTTGGTTTAATAACATAACATTTTATAAATATAATAATTAAGTGTTATGTTAGAACTCAATAATTATCCTAATTATATTTTATATTTAAATGTATTTGATTATATTTATTGACAATTAGTTACACGAATTCAGAATTCCATATAATAAGTTGTACTTACACACAATCTACTTGTAATCTTGAGTTTTAAGTAACATGCATTAATAATCAGTACTTTATACATAAAAATTGGTTTTTAAAATTTTTTGTCAAATGTTTTATAATATAGTATAGTTATATGATATTTTAATAATATAATTTTTTATTTCGATGTAATATTTGGGAAAAAAAAATTAAATTCTCTCTATTCATTTTAAAATTATTTTGGAGGACTAAAAACATGACACCGAAATGTGAAAAGTGGCATTTTTCCACACGGAGAATGATTGTGGGGATAGTGATAGTGTGGAGGCAGCTCTTATATGCGACGGTTGCTCGCCGGCACCGCCCTTACCCTTTTTGAAAATAAGAACAGTTGTTCGACGTTTGGTAAGATAAAACATAACACGTAAAATAACGAATTTATCCTTAATGAGCTGTTTATATATAATAAATTATAATAAGATATATTATTAGAAAGTTCTCGTTAAAACAATTAAAATAAAATTGTTATGTAGTTTCTAATTTTTATATTATATCTAATCGACGTTGATTTTTATTATTAATATATAATAAATTATATAAATTAATAAAAATATAGAAACTGTATAAAAATAATAAATTAAGAATAGTAAAATGAAAGTTTAAAAAGTATAAAATACATTAAATAAAATGTAAAAAGAAGACTCATTTGATATTTTAGAAGATAATTAAGTTCTATTTTGAGATTATGTTGTAAAATATAAGTTTGTTCTACCAAGTCCCATATAATAGAGGTACCATGTTTCACTTTGTTCTACTATGTTCTTGTATGTTCCAGATAAAAACTCTGCCAAACTTGGAACATGGGTCCTTGTTCTGCTGTATTTAGTTATATCTAATGTACCAAACGCACCCTTAAAGATATAATAAAAGACTTTCGATAAACTTTTAGAAGTGAACTTTATGTAATGAGCCAAGTTTTTTCCTAAACTTGTTCTTCCCAATTAAAAGACATGTTCCTTTTTATCTATGAAAAAAAACTTTGAAACAAAAAACTCTCTCAATATATACCGACAGATTAATCAACATAGAAAGCTTTATCCATTCATGGAGGAATTTGGATTGAAATGAATTTAAAATCATTGGTGTATTTGGTTTGTAGAATTTGGAATGAAATTTGATTTCATTATTTATAGAAAAAATTATCCTAATTATATTTTTGATTTTTTATATTTAAAATGAAATATTTATCTTGTATTTGATCATGTTTATTTGTTGTTAGTCATACGAAATTACAAATGAAGCTTTAATAAGTTATACTTACGTACAATTTACTTGTATATGCATCAATAAATAGTACTTTATACATAAAACAATGATTTTTAAGAATTTTTATTAAATGTTTTATAAATATAGATATAAATATTCTATAATATTTCAAAAAATCTGTTAAAACAAAATAAAAAACATGTATTTTCTGTAAGGATTTCAAATGCTGCTTATCCTCGAGAAGACGTTCATGGCTTCTCCTTTGTTTATAAACACATAAAACACACCTTCAAATTCTCACACAAAACCAGCCTCCTTCTCACCTGCAGGGTTTTCCATGTGAATGGATGCATGTGTGCACTTTGTCTTTTATCAAATCTTCCATATTTCTTTTCTGTGTATCTCACTCATCTCAATTTCTTCCCATTTTAATATTCATTCTGCTTCAACTTCTGATTTGCCAGATCGATCTTCAATTGCTTTTCCTTATTTTAATCCAACAACACAAGGTTTCTAAGAATTCGTCACATGTTTGACCTGAATTTCTGGTTTATAAAAGGGGGAAACCTGTTTTTTTATTCACTTCACATGATTTCTGATACCTTTTGAAGCAAATCCATTAATGGGGTTCTCATTTAACCCCTCTGCAACTCGCCGCCGGTCAATTTTCCGGTGATCCATGATTTCATACCCCCTTTCATGCCTTTTCTTCTTCAATCACCAAAACCCTAAAACCCTAATCTTTCTTCATCAGAAACAGATCAAGATTGTCGAATTCAAATACCCAATCGATTGAATCATTATGTCGTATGCCAATTCAAGATCCGTAAGGTACTTTTCCCTCTCAAATTTCAAATTTCTTAGTTTGTGATCAAATTCTTCTTGCTTAGTTCATCGGTTAGAATTTGTTCTCCATTTGAAAGTGATGTGATTTAGTGTAATGGTTGAATTGCCATTTAGTGAATTCATCTCCGATTAAGTATGAAATTAAGGTTTATGGGTGTTTTAATTTTCCCCCAAATGAAATCTACAGGTTTCAAGATGATATCGAACCACCAAAGTTCCAATCCGTTAATGGCGACAACATGTTTAAGGTTAAATACAACATTGATGGAAAGCAACTACCTGAATCAAGAAAACCCGAAAAAAGAATCGAAAAAAACCCGCGATCCTCGTTAAAATCGAAAGTTCTATCTCGGGTTTTCTCCGAGGATTACGAGCGAGTGAAGAAGAAAATCTTGGATCCTCGAGGTTTAACCATTCGAAAATGGAACAAGATTTTCTTGATGGCATGTTTCGTTTCGCTATTCGTAGACCCGTTGTTCTTTTACTTGCCGTCGGTAAAAGACAACGTTTGTATCGACATTGGATTCACCCTCGAAGTTAGTCTCACCATTGTTAGATCAGTAGCCGATGTGTTTTACATGATTCAGATATACATGAAGTTCGTAACCGCGTATGTAGCGCCATCTTCCCGCGTTTTTGGAAGAGGTGAGCTCGTTATAGACTCTTCCAAGATCGCGAAAAGGTACATAAAGGGGGATCTTTGGATCGATCTTCTAGCTGCATTACCTCTTCCTCAGGTATACGAATCGTAAAAATCGATTCTTGTGCTTATGATTTCGTTAAATGTAAAAAACCCCTCTAAATTCTTGTGTTTTCTGGATCATTTAAGGTGCTAATTTGGATAATTATACCGAGTTTAAGTGGCTCGACGATGGCAAACACGAAGAACGTTCTCCGATTCATCATCATCTTTCAATACCTCCCTAGACTCTATCTTATCTTCCCCCTCATGTCGAAGATCGTCCAATCTACAGGTGTTGTTACAGAAACAGCTTGGGCTGGAGCTGCTTATAACTTGATGCTGTACATGTTGGCAAGCCATGTAAGTAACAATGTGAATAACATCGAGACGTCAAATTTTTTATGACACTTTTTTAAATGGTGTCGTATAAAAAGATTAATAAGACCTTTTATTTTAAAAGTGTCATCTTAAGTCTTATAACGTAGTCTATTAGGACATTTAGACATTTTTGGCCTCGATCTTGTGGTTCCGTGATCAAACCAAATATGTGTGAAACTAAAAGGAGTTTCTTGTTCTAATCTTGATATTACAGTTTATAGGAGCTTGTTGGTATCTTTTATCGATCGAGAGGCAAGAAGACTGCTGGAGAATCGTATGTCTTGCCGAGGATCCATCGTGTGAGGACCAGTTTTTTGATTGCAAAAGAATTAGCGAACCCAGTAGACGCTCGTGGTTCCAGACGAGCAACGTGACAAATCAATGTGTACCCACCAGCGACTTTTATCCGTTCGGTATCTATGGGGAAGCATTGGATGCAGAAGTTACTTCGGCTTTGTTCTTCAATAAGTACTTCTATTGCCTTTGGTTTGGCTTGAAGAATCTCAGGTAGCTATTGTGATCATCAAGAACATGAAACAATCTCGTATCGATTCTCGTTAATTTTCATCAATTCCTCGAACTTCATTGGTGTTTTGTTGCTCGAATATGCAGTTCTTTGGGACAAGATTTGATGACGAGCACTTACGTTGGTGAAATCATGTTCGCGATAGTAACCGCGGTTGTGGGACTGGTTCTATTCGCGTTGTTAATCGGAAATATGCAGGTAAGTTACGTTTCTTATGGTTTATGTCTTTATGAGATTATATTCGATCTGGTATTTCGAAATTTGTAACGGGTTTTATTGACAGACGTATCTTCAATCGACAACGGTTCGATTAGAAGAATGGAGAATCAGGAGAACCGATACAGAACAGTGGATGCACCACCGGCAACTGCCGCCAGAACTACGGCAGGCCGTTCGGAGATATGATCAGTATAAATGGGTTGCGACTCGAGGGGTGGATGAAGAATCCCTTCTCAAAGGCCTCCCGTTAGATCTTCGTCGAGATATAAAACGCCACCTTTGTTACGATCTTGTTCGACGAGTAAGTTTGACATAATCGGTTTTAGCAGACGCATATTATGGGACCAAAGAATTGGGCATTAAGGTTTTTTTTGTTGATAGGTATCGTTGTTTGATCAAATGGACGAACGGATGCTGGATGCGATTTGCGAGAGGCTAAAACCGGCATTATGTACTCAAGGGACTTGTTTAGTGCGGGAAGGAGATCCGGTGAACGAAATGTTGTTTATCGTTCGAGGAAACCTCGATTCGTACACCACGAATGGTGGTCGGACCGGGTTTTTCAATTCGTGCCGGATTGGTCCAGGTGACTTCTGTGGCGAAGAACTTTTGACGTGGGCCCTGGACCCACGCCCGAGCGTCATCCTTCCATCGTCCACCCGCACGGTGAAGGCCAATTCTGAAGTCGAAGCTTTTGCTCTCATAGCAGAAGATTTGAAGTTTGTGGCATCGCAATTCCGTAGATTGCATAGTAAGCAACTACGACACAAGTTTCGGTTTTACAGCCACCAGTGGCGGACGTGGGCGGCTTGTTTCATCCAAGCGGCATGGCGGCGGTATAAGCGGAGGAAGAGTGTTAGGGAACTCAAGGCTCGTGAGAGCTTTACGAGTGTTGATTACGAGTCAGGAGCAAGCTCACCGGTGCATGGTAGGAACAATATGGCGTCACCGGACCCTGGGTTTGGTGCGTACGTTAAGAGGGTTGGTGCGAGTAGGAGGCCGGATGGCTCGAAAGCAGGTGGTGGTGGTTCGTTGCAAAAGCCAGCAGAACCTGATTTTTCTGTAGATGAGGAGGACCATTGAAAAAATGGTCTCAAAATGTGCAAAAAGTGAAAAGAAAGAAAGAAAGGGGTGGAAAATGAAAATATTATTCAGGAATCAGGAATATGTGAATATGTAGACTTATTCCGTACTTTTATTATGATTCTTGAATTGTATACATGGATTTAGAGGAGATGAAAAGAATAACATTTTGAGTGAAATTATTGTAGCTTTTGTACAGATTCAGCTCTATGTCAGATGTCATTTAACTTTTGTCTGATCAATTAAGACGCATGTATATGCATGTGATAACACCTTCACAAGGTCATAATTTGGTGATTTATCGAACAACCATAACGAGTTATGTGTTGTTTCGAGTATCTAAGGCTGTTTGCATTTCAGTTTGGACGGTTTAATCTCTTAAAACCATAAACCAAATCGTAGCGACGGTTTTTTTTTTTTCAAACCGAGCGGTTTGACATCAAATGATCAAACCGTTTAAGTTGAACAACAAAAAGGACCTCTGGTCTAACCGGTTTAGACGGTTAAGGCTCTTCTTATGGGCTTTAAACTTAAAAAAAATGAAAATTCTAGCAATATAACACTATTAAAAATAGTATACCGAATTATAAGAAATGTCTATCTCTAAAAAAAAAATGTTGAGCAAGTTGAAAAAAATAGAACAAGTCCACCAAGAATAATTGGAATTTTGGACAAACATTGAGTAAGACGAAGGACGAGTTACAATGATCGTTTATTTTTTCAATGGATTTCGAAATTTTATCAATTTAGATAATGTGATCAATTTAAAAAATAATAATTAATTGTCTAAATAAATTATTTTTTATGTACTGGGCCCTCGCTAGGATTTTACTCATTCACATCTGACAGTAATTTCCTGAATACTGCTAGCTTTAAATCATATGTTCCTCCTGTTAAGCCCGTCCAACTCAAGCCGCTAACAACCCAATTAAACTCAATTCGATTAACTGCTAACAACCTTATAAATAAGTTTATAGAACATTTCTCAAAATTGTTTTATAAAATAATTAATACTACACTTTATTTAAAAAGAATGCTAAAAAACTTGTTGAAGTGCCAAAAAAAAAGTTCTATAAACTTATTATAACACTTTTAGATATGACGCTTTACAAGTTGGTCACATAAATTTAAGTCCTATAAATAATTTCATTCGTTAGATTTATCTAACTGACTAACTTGCCAACCCAACCCAACCCAACCCAACCCGCAAATGTTGCATGGGTTAGGTTATACTTTTGAATGAGTTGGGTTGGGTTGAGACTTTTCCAAACTATCATAATTGGTTGTATAAATATCATAAACCGTCCAACCCAACTCGTGTACACCATTAGTTCTATACTAATTTTAGTTAGTTTTTAAGACAAATATTTAAATATATTTTAATTAGTGTGTGTAAATTTCTGGCTTCGCCCATGACTCAAGTTTCACTCTTACAAAGTTAGATTTGTAATTGGAACATTGTTTCATTGTATGCCAATTGGGATTCTTTTGTGGAATATATTCTCCAAAGATTAATAGATTCGAGTCTTATTATGTAAGATACTGAAATTATGTTAAAAGGACATAAGATTCGTTGTGATTTAAAGTTGTCATAATAAAATGGAGTGTCCGAACGGTTCATTATGCCAATTGGGTTCTTTTATAGATGAAAGAAACGTGTTTTTTAATTTGAAGTGGTAGGATTGGGAAAAAATTAGCTTTCTGCATAAAGCTCCCTCTTGAAAGCTTACTGAATAAGTCATTTTCTATATCATTAAGCGACTACCAACAGTCATGTATAGTTGACCGAATAAGTTGTGAGTCTCGTTAAGCTTATTAAACTGCTAACAAACAAACAAATTAATAAATCCATAAAATACGCTTCTTATGCATGTTTGATTTCTTTTGTAGTTGTAAATGACCTTAAGCAAGGCAACCGATGAGTCATCAAAGGCTCAGGTCATAAAGGGTTTTCCTTATTTTAAGAGCAAGTGGAGTTTGTGACTATTATGAGCCATTTTAGCATTTCAGTTGTGTGTTCGCCTATTTAAAGGCATCACCGTATCTGAATAAGATAGACTTTTCAGTTGCGTATCTTTTTCTTTTTTTGTTGTTTTTGAATATTATCTTCCATTTTCTTCTACCAGACTTTGTTTTCTCATATAAAAAACGGCATAAATAGATATTTAGAGGGTAAGTACCCGATGCAATAATTTACAGGGTAAGTATTTATCTGGGTAAGAGTCGTCATCTTCACTTATTAGGTAAGACTTTTCATTCTTCTCATGACTCTTACCCGGTAAGATTCTTGACTTTTGTCATGTTCATTCATAAAAAAAATTATCCGGTAAACACATTCAAGTAAGCGTTTAGTAAACGGCCTTTTAAGTGTTCAGTTGCCCGACAAGACATAAATAGATATTTAGATCCGTTTGATCTCAAAAAGTTCGGTTCTTTTTGTATTTTTTTTATGCTCTTAAGATTTAAAAGATGCATATATTTAATGTAATTTGTTTTAATTTCTATCTAACAATTAATTTTATTTTCTTAATTAACGTAATAAATGTTTGTATATACTTTGATTTTTTAATTAATAGAGAATATAACTAGCGAGGACGGGAATGTTAGGGACCGTTTACCAAATACTTACCCCGTAAGTACTTACTGGTAAAATTAAATATTATTACTTTTTTTTACAAGGTAAGATTTTAGTCTACCAAAACGGCATTAGATGCAACAATTTACCAGGTAAATGCTAACCGTGGTAAGAGTCGTTATCCTCACTTACCGGATAAGATTTTCGGTCCTTACCTCGCTCTTACCGAGTAAGACTCTTAGTCCTTGTCATATTCATCGGGTAAGATGATGTGACTTGATAAACACTTACTTAGGTAAATGTTTAATAAACGGCCCCTTAGTTAACTTATATTATACTTGATTATATAATAAAACGTCACATCAAACTTAACAGATGTCATGTAAGTCGAAAACTTATTTATCAGATAAAATACATCACGAAATAAAAAAATGAATGTTTATTACATCAATCGAAACTTTTATTATATTTTGATAGTTTTTTAATAACGAAAAATATAATGATATTAATTTTATATTTAATTTAATTTAATTATTTGCTTTTTGAGTAATACACCAACTGATAATGGAGAGAATAATCGTATATCTTTTTTGTTTTCAGCATTTTTGTTTTTAGTATTATCTCATGGACAGCAGACATACACAAAAAAACAAAAATTAAATTTCTCCATATTCATTTTAAATTGATTTATTTAAGATAATTCTAATTTATTTCTTTAATAATGATTATGGTAAATTGCATGAAAAAATAACGTATTTTAACTTAATTCTTATTTTGGGTAACTTACTTTTAAAACTTCTATTTTGACACTTAATATGTAAAGTTTTAAATATTGAATAACCGGTTGAAGCATTAACCGGTTATCATGCTAATGTGATGAGTGATGTAGTATCCAATCCAACTCATAATTATTTGCTGACGTGGTTAGTGACATGATTTTTTTTAACTAAAATTAGTCTTCAACCGATTACCCGGATACTTAACTGTTTAAAACTCTACATTTTTTTTATTAACCTGGATATCCAACCCGATATGCGAGCCGACTAATTCCAGGGCGACCACCTGCTTTGCAGATAGCCCGGAGTCACCGCATTTGAACCTCCATGACCACAAGGGGATTTTTATTTCTCCTTAGATTTGAACCTGGACCTCCCGGTACTTTTGACCTTTGAAGTCAAACTCAAACCAATCAGGAACCACCCTTGTGGTTTAAAACTTTATATATTAGATACCAAAATGGAAGTTTTGAAAGTACGTTACCCAAAATATAAATCAAGTTAAAGTAAATTACTTTTTCATACAATTTACCTTAATGACTATTGTTTAATCTACATAATAACGAGACTAATGTATTTTATTTTGTTACATAAATATAAAAAAACTTTGATTTAAAAAATAATTACAAACGAAGTAATATATATATATATATATATATATATACTTTATAATATAGTATAAATATATATACATATATATATGTATATATATTTATACTATATTATAAAGTATTTGACAAAAATTCTTAAAAACCATTTTTATACATGAAGTACTTCTTATTGATGCATATTATTTAAAATTCAAGATTACAGGTGATTTTGCGTAAGTACCACTTATTAAAGCTTCATTTTTAAATTCGTGTAACTAACTGCAGATAAACATTATCAAATACAGGATAAACATCAATTTTAACTATAGAAAATCTAAAATATAATTAAGATAAATATTGAGCTTTTAACAGAATGTTTAATTAGTATCTTTAATAAAAGTTACATTATTAAACAAAAATAAATTATTTTGTTATTAGACCTAAATTAAATTATAATAAAAAATTGAATTAAATAACTTACACAAAAAAAACAAGAACTATTAAATAGTTAATTTAATATCGATTTTTTTTTTGTAAATTTTTATGTTATCTTTAAATTTATATTTCATTCAAAAAATAAAAACATTATCGCTTTCCTAAAACCGTATAAAATCATATTATATCGATGGAAACAAATAATAAAAGTTAAACATTAAAATGAAGATTTATCTCGCATAATATTATAAATCAAATATTTTATTATTTTAGATTTGAGGTATATCGGTATTCATATCTTATTATGTGCATTTATAGTTATACACAAATACGAAAAATATCTATTTAAAATCACTTTTTTTGCTTTTCATAAAACCGAGTGTTATAGGTTTTATATTAAGGCTTACATTTTTTTAGTTAATATTTATTACATTTTTTACATAAAATGTACAAAATAATCACATAAATAACAAAATAGTTTTGCTAACCGTACCTGATTTTGCTAGCTAGGGACCCCAGTAAAAAAAAACTAACTTTTGTTCATCATCGTCCACATTTAACACCTTTCCCAACACGCAAATCCTGTCAGCTTGGACCCAAAGGAAGGACGACATAAAGGCGTATTTGGAGTTGAGGTGGTGGATGGTCGAGTTTTGGTGCAAATGGTTGGTTATTTAGCTTATGTCGGAATTGAGCTATTTGGTAAACTGGTTAAGTTACTTATACTCGATATGCACCAGGAATTGAAATACGGTATGGTAGTCAAGATACTTACAGAAATCAATTGAAACATGCAAAATTCTACATTTTTATGTTCAACGTGTGTCTACTTTGCTAAATCAAATGCAATTAGCAAAATCGTTTTGCAATTCACCCGACTATTTTGATGGTGTTGTATTTTGATGGTAAGTACTTACCGGGTAATTTTTCTTACCGGATGAACATGGCAAGGGCTAAGAATCTTACCTGGTAAGAGCGATGATAAGGATGAAGAGCCTTACCCGGTAAGTGAGGGTGGCGACTCTTACCCGGGTAAGCGCTTACCAGGTAAATTGTTGTATAAGATACATTTTGATGTACTACAATCTTACCTGATAAAATAAATTATAGTGTTGACTCCTAATGTTAAGTATTTACCGAGTAAACATTCAGGTCAACAACCATTGATTAATATTTACTAAGGGGGTGTTTGTGATTGCTTATTTAAAACAACTTATGCTTTTTCGTAAAAGTGTTTATTAACTTATGTGGTATTAAATCGGAGTTCTGTAAAAAGTGTTTGGATTAGCTTATAGCGGTACCAAAGAACAATAAATTGATAAGTTGTTTTTTAGTGTTTGACAAATTTTGCTTATATATGTAAAATGATCAAAAAAGTCAGTATTCCATATAATAAATATTTTTGATTATTAACTTATTTATTTTTTAACATGTAAAAATTTATTTTTCATTATTTATAAAAATATTTTTGACAAAAATTTATATCAATAAGATTAATAATTAACAAACATTAATAAAACAAGTTTAAAGTGGTAAACTGGTAATAAACAGTTTTTCATAAGTCAAGAAGGATTAACTTATCAAAAACTGTTTATTACCGGTTTGACACCGGTATAAACAATTTTATTTTTCTTCATCCAAACACTAGCATTTAGCTTATCACCGGTGTCAGACTGAAATAAATCAAAAAACAGCTAAAATAAGCAATCTTAAACACCCCATAAATTCCTTTGTTATATCATTTGTGAATAATTTATATAATTTTGTTAAAATACATTAAATTTTTTAAAGAGAATAAATAAAAGAATATAACAATAATAATTTATTTATGTTATGGAATATAAAAAGCAAAGGGAAAAGCAAAAGGGGAAAGGTTAAAAAGAAAAAGATGGGGATCAAACCAAAGGAGAGCTGTGGTGTTGACACCTGGCCAATCATGAATGCCAGAGCTCAAATCTACTTAAACTAGATCACTCCTTTTGTTCCAACTTGTACATTACGCATCAAAACCAGTACGTTGTTCTGTAACTTTCTATTTAAGCTCTGGAAAGACAATAGTCATTTGAGACGATGATATTTTAAAGTAATTTGCCCGCACTCAATCATACCTTTCGAACTTCTTACGATCTACGAGGAAGACGACGACGCCTCTATCTTCCTCACGTAAACCTGTAAGCAATCTTCCAACCCTAGATTCTCTATGTGTATATCGTTGATTCCTTTGTAATCTGTATATAGATGTCTGCAATGTTGAGTTACGGTTACATTACATACATGTTTCACTATGGAATTTCATTGGTATGATCGATTTCTGTTGTCCTAAAGCCATGTGTTTGGAGTTTGTACGTGGTGTGGTTTTTTCTTGTGATTAACGTTTGTTTGTTGGTGTTATTGAGCACCTGGTTGTCCAATTTCGTCGACTTCTAATCGTGTGATTGGAATAGATCTTCAGTTTTCATGCACCTGTGTTTGTTTTTGGGATGCGGGTGGTGTTGTTGAGGTTTTTGTTGATGTGGATAGAAGGTTTAAGTAGCAATGGCATTGATAATAGTAGCTTTGGAGTAGCTCTGTTCACGACTGAATAAACCTTTTGGTTTTTTTGGGTTTGTTTCAGATTAAATTGATTTTTACAGTTTGTTCAACTTTAAAGCAATATTCAACTCCTCCTTGCGTTTCTTGACGATCGGAAAGACCAATTACAAATTCACAACTCGGCTTATCTTGTTTTATATAATTCTTCTCGTAATCATAAATTATAGCTAATCAAAAGGCGTTTCTTGAAACCGCATTTTTCTCGTAATAGTTCAAAATTTCAATAAATCATCAATCTCTGATCATTTTAGATGTTCACTGGCAAATTGAATTTCTCTTTTTTGTCAATACTACTCCATTAATCCCTTGAAAAGTACCACGAGTTCCATTTTAGGTTGTTAAACTTTCCTTCAAAAGTACAACAAAGTTTCCAACTTCTGTCAACAAGACTCTCTAGTTTGTCAGGGTGAAGGGCATTTTGTACATTTAACTAATAATCAAACATTTTTATTCATCACCATGTAAAGCCAATTGTTGCCATTTTCAAGTGATAATGAGAGTATATTAGTTGTAAATTGTACAAGTCTTGCATTAAAAATGATGCTCGTAGTTTTTAACTCTTATGCAAGATAATTCTACTTGGGTTAGAGTATTAATGAGAGTATATTAGTTGTGGATTGTGAAAGTTTTGCATTCAAAATGATGAAAAGATGCTCGTTATGTAAGGCTTGGGCAAGATGATCATACTTGGGTCAGATTAGAGTATTAAAATGAAGAGAAGCTGTTTCTCTTCCAAAGGCAAAGCTATTTGAGGGTTTCGATGTCAAACGGGTTAATGTCAACTTCAGAATGTAAATGGCAGTTAGAGTATCTGCAGGAAATTTGTTGCAGTACATAATCTCTATAGCTGGTAACTACAAATAAAACATGTAGGTGGCTTTTCCGAAATAAATCCATATTAGAATTTATAAGTTTTTTAGGTTTGTCATAAAAAATTGAAGTGTAACCCATTTTTTAATGTACAGTTCGAGTAAAACATTAACCAAATCGTTGGACCATTTCGTAGAGAAAAATAATAAGGATGGATGTCTAAGATAACACACTGGGAAGAAAAAATGGACCTTTTGCCTAAAATTATGCTCCCTCTGTCCCAAAATAATTCTCCTTTTGACTTTCTAAGTCAAATACATTACTTTTTATCTTCGACATTTATATTACTTCTTTTAGTCCCTGAGAAAAAAATAACCACATTGCAATTTGTTTGAACAAAAGTGAAAAAGACATTGATGCTAGAAATGCTGACAACAATCATATTAGTCATGAATTTCAGAAGTTATAAATCTGTATGGAGTAAAAATAGAACAATTAATTTGGGATTGGGAGAGTTATGCTATTCCATATTACAAGAAGATGTCACAACTTGCTGTGATTAGGAATATAGTTCTTTGCTACTTTGCTTATTTGAGCAAGTTTTATTTCTGCTTGTATCTGTTGTTCATTTGATTAACTGATGGGAATTTTCATGTATTCAAATCAGCATTTTCATCACTTGTTAGCTATAACTTTTACTCGTAAGTATGCGGCTTTTCTCATGCTCTACCATGGACCTCCCACCTCGTCACTCATGGTGAGTGTAATAACTGTGAGAATATGTGGAACCCCCATATCACTCTCCAAAAGAGCCATTGAGGAGAAAGGGGAGGTTCCAACATATATACAGGAGAAATGGTCCAAGTCTAGCCGATGTGGGACTCCAACCCGCCCCCTCCAACAGAGGCTAGATGGACTCATATTGTCCCAGAATGTCAGGTCCCTAGAGAGGCAGACCTTGGCTCTGGTACCATGTGAGAATATGTGGAACCCCTATATCACTCTCAAAAAGAGCCCTTGAGGAGAAAGGGGAGATTCCAGCATATATACAGTAGAAATGGTCCAAGTCTAGCCGATGTGGGACTCCAACACTAACTATGAGCCTATCAAGTGTTATATGCTGAATTTTTCTCATTGTCTATGCTCATATTTGGATGTTATTATATGGATATCATGTACACTTTAACAAGTTGAAAAATTCCTTTTTTATTAATTGATTCAGGCTGCAAGATTGTTTTCTTTCTTAACATTCTAACTTTTACTTGCCATACATTTCCAGGTATTTTCTACTGTGGTAACACAATTTTGATACTGTTATATCTCGGAGGATGCCACATGCTCTGTAGAATTGCATACGTAATTAATTAGGCCTGGTGTTTGACGATTAAAGTTGGGCACTTTTTAGATCAATGAAAAGTATGTACCGCAGGTCAGTGATATACTTTGGCTGAACCTTGGCTTAATTTATGTCGTTTGTCTATTTGGCTTGTAATTTGGAGTATGCGTTCTGTTCAGCTGAGTCAGCTTCATAAATTAATCATATTTTTGTATCAGTGGCTTTTTCAAGAAGTCAAACGATAATGGGAGAATTGTTATAAGTGCAATCATGGGGATGATCTTTGGATATTTCATTGGTGTTTCTTTTCCATATTTTTCTTTTACAAAGGTATTTGGCTTTCAGAAATTCAGTAAATACTTACATTGCAAATTTCATCATCCATTAGGCTTACTCTTATGTCTTTCAGATTTCCTCACATTCAAGCATTCATTCTTCATTTGATGTCACAATGCACGAGGAGTCTAAAGCTCACGAACGCAGTTTTCCGGACAATCTTGGTTCTTCTAATACACCTGAACTACCTAAGGTACATTTTTCTCTGGATGTTTGCTGCTTTGCTTGAAACTATGAGATTACCATCTGTGACTGTTAGAATGTTCATTTTTTTTATTTGTGCCAAATAATGAACACTTTGTCTACCCTGATTGTGTTTTCTGATCTCTATCCGTCTCTCTTCCGTTCATATTAATAAGGATGTGAATAAATGATTAAACATCTAATGAGTACAGATATGGCAAACTTTTTATAAGCTTTTCTGGAGGTGAGAAGACTGTTGTATTGGTCTGGCAATTAAATGGTTGGAGTGTACGTGACTAACTTACCTGTAAATTCTGTTGACCTTGGGACCACACCATTTATAACGAAGTACATCACAGCGCAATGGTAGAAGTGTTGCTTTTGGCTTTGTAGTTTTACATTTTCTGGAAGTCATTTCTTTTAAGTTGAAATTTAAATTCAAAAATAAACCCAGGTTTGAGCTTGGTTAATGGTGTTCAGTCTGTAAGCTTGTGACGGATTTTAGTGTTTGGTCTTTGTCTATTCCTTGCTGATCGTATGTTATTGTAATTAGCTTTATTTGAAAGTCTTTGTTTCTTAATTTTATCTTTTTTTTTTGTAAGGGTGTCCGGGCCAAAGCCCGATTAATCCCCGGCAATTTTGGAGGCTAAGCATGGCCCCACTTAAATGTCGCCAACACTCCCCTCCCAGGGCTCGAACCCGGGTTCATGACTATGCCATGCCCAAGCCTTTACCACTAGGCTGGAAGGTCTTTGACTTAATTTTATCTTTGCAGACAAGAAATTTGCACATTATTGTTGGTTTAGGGTTTAAGAAATATTTTCGGTCGTGTTGACTTTACACATAATCTTGGCTTTGCACGGATTAGCAACTCATCACTTTTTTGGTTTCAGATTTATGTTCCAACGAATCCCCATGGAGCAGAGTCATTACCGCCAGCAATTGTAGTTTCAGAGACTGATTTTTATTTAAGAAGATTATGGGGTGAACCTTCTGAGGTATGGAATTGAGATTTGGACGCTGAGACAACATTTTGTTGAGTCATTCAGCCAAATATGTTTTCTCCTGTCGGTGCTCTGCACAGATTTTAGTATATCTTTTACCTTAACTATTCATTCTTGTTTGTATTTGTTATAGCGTGGCATGTTGGTAGTCAATCTTTATGGGGCTGAATTTTGATTGTTAACCCCTTTTTTGCTTATGTCAAATCTGAATTTTGATTGTTGACCCTTGTGTGTATATTTTAATTATGTGTTTCATTGGTCTCTATCCATGGTTTAAGTTTTTACAGGGGGCCAAAGACACTAATCATAGTGGGGTATGACGGGGATAATGGGGTCTCGTTTTTACATTTGAGTTATTAATTTGATAGATCCTTTTTGTCAAGTGCATGCTCAACTTGGTGGTGTGTTTAAGCAGCAGGGTATTGTTTCCATCTTATAGTTATGGTAGCTATTTTTATACATGCAATCTATATGGCAATGCAACAAATTTCTAATGTTGTCGGGATAAAATAAGCTTTTGCGGACAAATTTACTTGGCATACTTTGACGTGTCCAGTTGTTGGATGCTAATAAGCTATCTGAAGCTATTTTACACGGTGTTGGAAATTTTCAGGATTTGAAGAAGAAGCCAAGGTATTTGGTAACTTTAACTGTTGGATGGGATCAGAGGAATAATATTGATGCAGCAGTAAAAAAGGTTCCATGAGATGGATATTTCTTTTTGTTCTTTTTAATTTGGTGCTATTTCAAAATACTGAGGTCTGGGCATGATTTTTTCATAGTTTTCCGATGATTTTCAAATCATGCTTTTTCACTATGATGGTCGAACAACAGAATGGGATCAATATGAATGGTCAAAGCAAGCAATTCATATCAGCGTCAGGAAGCAAAGCAAATGGTATCCTGAGATTCCACCGTCACTGCCAAGTCCTGGTTTTTTTTCATGTTTGCTATGTTGAGTTCTTCCGTTTTCTTTATTTTTTCACTTTTCTTGTAGGTGGTATGCAAAGAGGTTTTTGCATCCAGATATTGTAGCAGCTTATGATTTCATTTTTGTTTGGGATGAAGATCTTGGTGTTGAGCACTTTAATGGGGACAAGTACTTTCTTTTTCTCTGCTTTCAGATCATGCCTTGTAGTAAGCTAAGTTTAAGAGTTATGCAGCATTAATTTGTTTGCTTATGCATTACATTCCAGGTACATGCAGTTAGTTAAGAAACACCGTTTGGAGATTTCTCAACCTGGCCTTGAACCCAATGAGGGATTAACATGGGAAATGACAAAGAGGAGAGGTGATAGAGAAGTTCACAAGTAGGTTACTATTTTTTAATTTTGTATACTTTTTCTAATTGTAGTATAAATATTGTAATGGTTTTTTGGAAGACCATGGTAACTTACGTCTTTGACTTGACTAATTCATGGGGTCCGCCTGGGAAAACTGAGCCTTTTGGCTTGTAGGCCCCTAAAGAATTGGTATCACTTGTGGGTTCAAACCTGAGACCTATGATACATAAATCCCAAGCATTACTCACCAAGCCAACCCTGGGGGTTATGAATACTATAATATTGTAGAATGCATCTTTGAAATAGTTTCAAAATATGAACGACACTTGATTTCTATATGTTTGGATTTGCTAACAGGTTTACAGATGAGAAACCAGGATGGTGCAGTGATCCGCATCTGCCTCCATGCGCAGCGTACTACTTCTCTCTCTGTTGCAATTTCATACTTGTCCCTACATACAGTGATGATGTCATCTTTGATTAAGCCACCAGTGGGTTCTTCTATGGGGCATATATAAGTGTTTGATGTTTCATATAGAAGCTATTAATCATCAACAAGATGTAGCTTTTGGTACAGTAAAAATAGTAATTAAACTAGCAGACTTGGTTTGCTCCTAAGAACAGAGATACTTGTCTAAGAAATTCATGAGAAAATTTAGAATATCAGAAGAAAATGCATATATTGGTGCAACTTTTCAAACACTATAATGTAGTTTTGGTTGGTTTCATAAACTAATTATAGTGAGTTAGTGACGATATTTACAGCCTAGGATAGCGTAGCCATCATTAAGGAATGCTTCATCTTCAACTGGATTATGTGAATATTTGCATGTTTATTGTCATAAATTGAATGGGATCTATTTGGTTATAATGAAGTACTCAAATAAGTCTTTTTGTTCTCAGAACGCATCTGGGCCTTTCTTTTCTTGTTGACACTTTGTTGTTAACTTGCTTCTTTGGGTTTAGAAGTTTTCACATGTAGCCCAAAAAAAACAACTCTTTCCTGTGTTTCAAAACTAATGTAAACATCCACTACAATTTGATTGAATACGTGTGTGCCTCATTCTATATTTTTTTAAAACTATATGTATATGTGTATGCATATGTGTATTTATATCACGGATTTTAACAAATGTTTGACCACTTCCACTAACCCATCTGTCAATTAACTTCTCCAGTTTGCTGGCTGCTTCTCATTTACAAGTATAGATTTAGGCTTATGTAGTGACCCTTGTAGCTACTGAGCTATAATAGGATGGTTATTAGGAATAGTATGTACATGAAATTCAAATTGACATCATGCATTACATATTGAGCTAATCTTGAAGATTCTATTATTTATAATGAAGCTAACTTGGGTTTCGGTACTCATTGCTGCGATCCTTATCCAGATTTGTGGAGATTATGGCTCCTGTGTTCTCTCGGGATGCTTGGCGATGTGTGTGGTATATGATCCAGGTAAAAATGTATTTCAAGAATCAAACCGTAAAAAGATACACATATAAATTATGTACAATTTCAAAAGGTACAAGTATGTAGTCTGGTGGCTAGTGCAATACGTTCTGCACGTGTGTTCTTTCCAATTTTCACTTTCTCATGTACATGCAGAATGATTTGGTGCATGGATGGGGTTTGGATTTTGCACTTAGAAGATGCGTAGAGGTCAGTATTTTTATATTTTATTTTCCGTATTTTTTTCCATGTATAGTTTCATTCGTGAAATATTTATAGCCAATGCATTACATCATGCCCTTTCATGATAATTATAAAGGAACTTAAGTCTGTAATGATTGAGGATTTGGGGGTTACACTTCTCCATGCTTCCCTTTCCTTTAATAGATACGATGGACTGGTCATAATGACAGTTTTCCTCTGTCCAAAATAAACCGCTTTACTGCTCGAGTATTCTGTCTGCCATTGAAGGGTCATTGCCATCTACTTCTGTTTATCTAACTTAAAATTCAATTTGTTTTTGAGTATTTGTCGAACATGAAACATATCTATAAATTCCTCATAAAACTTGTTTCTTTCTCACAGCCTGCATATGAAAAAATTGGCGTGGTTGATTCACAATGGATCGTGCATCAACATATCCCTTCACTGGGGGGCCAGGTGAGCCATCATAACCTTTGAATGTGTTGGAGTCCCACGTTGGCTAGACTTGGACGGTTTCTCCTGGAGATATGTTGGACCCTTCTATTTCTCCTCGAGGGTTCTTTTGGAGAGTGATCTGGGGGTTCAACATATTCTCACATGGTACCAGAGCCAAGGTCTGCCACTCTAGGGACGTGACACTCATGGGACAATCTTTGTCCATCTAGCCTCTGTTGGTGGGGGCGTGTTGGAGTCCCATATCTGCTAATCTTGGACCATTTCTCCTGTTTATATGTTGGAACCTTCTATTTCTTCTCAAGAGCTCCTTTGGAGAGTGATCTTGGGTTCCTCATATTCTCACAAAGTGGTTGATTTTCGTTCTACGAATGATATATGAATGTCTGTTTCACATGGAAAAAAACAAGAGCTAGTGTTACCAACAAATGATTCTTCGTGTATAATATTATATAGTTTCTATGAATCCATACGTATGTATATTGGCTTGCTAAATGATAGCGTCTGTGTTGATTCAGGGCGAGTATGAGAAAGGGAAAGCTCCTTGGGAAGGGGTAAGCATGTTCTTTCCTTATATAATGTATTTATAAGGAGATTACTCCCTTGGTCACAAATAAATGCAACATTTGACAAGATACAACCTAAATGAATGTGGTTAACTATTGGTTATCTAAATACCATTAACAATACATAAACAGAGGAAACCTATCAACCAAAATCAGTGTTATCAATATCTTATAGTGATTACTAATGGGTAAAGAGTAAAGACGCAATCTTGGACTGAAACTTTGTGACATTGTTGCATTTATGTTGGGGGGTTGGGTTCCGGTGAGAAGGAAAGTTATAGTGAGAAGTGTAAGAAGAGATCTCTACCCTTGGATTAATCCAAATTGAATGTCAATACTAATGAGGTGCACCGAGATGTACAAGATCAATTCCCTTCTAAAGCACAATTCATTGGTGGGCATGAGATTAAAAGTAGTCAAGGGTTCAGATCTCTTCTTATGCTTCTCACAATAACTTTTCTTCTCACACGATCCTTCGCCTGTTGAGGGGATGGTTGGAGGACAAGATATATGCTTATTAAAAGTTGCTTATTATGCTTGAAACCATAGGTAAAAGAGAGATGCAAAAGTGAATGGGCTCTATTCCAAGATCGACTTGTGAATGCAGATAAAGCATACTTGAAGCAAAACGGAACTAAACTTTGACATATGCATTTAGGCAGGTTTTGTACGCACATTGCTTTGCTTTGTCTTAAAGCCCGTTTGGCTTCTCCTCATCCGCGTCTCAGGAGTTGGTCATTTGGATCCTGGACTGGACCTCTCTCCTGGTGATTTCTTGTCCGCGGTTTATAGCCAAACATTTTTTGTACAATAGGCATGATAAGTAGCTTTTGTGCATAGTTATAAATACCAAATGTTCGATTAAGCAGGTATCATCTGATTGTTGCGTGATCATTGTATATATGCCCTCAACAAATATCACAACTTACATGGACTTGAAACATCTTAACCATTGCGAATCTGCAGATAGTTTCTTTCTTTTCTTGTGCAAATGTGATAATATGTAAATCTTGTAACAAGTTTATTCCAAGTCGAGCAGAAATGCAAAGGCATTAGATGAGATGTATACTGACCTGGCTTCTACTGATGGTTTAAAAGTTATTCTCGGTTCCTAGACTTTAGTCCAAAAAATGTGAGTGAAAAGGAAATAAGAGAGGAACATGTCTTATTATTAAAAAGTTGTTTGGCGATTAGTTAGCCCCATCAATTGTCTTTTGATAATGGGTTTTTGGCCCCGTTTTGGACCAATTCTACCCTCCACATGAGTTGTTGTTTTAAGTTCAGATACCCTACCCCTTTGTACTACTTCTGAACATGGTATATTAAATATGTCTAATTCGATTCTGTTATTACATATGATATATGTAAATTGTAATTTAATTAATATTTATGGTGTAATTTAATGTTAGAAACCATGTAGTAGGAGTGTAGTTTGAATTGTTAAATGAGTTGGTTGCTGTGGGGTGATGGTGTTTGGAGTGAGGTTGAAGATGTTTAATTCACCAAACAATCTTATTCTCTCATCTCATCTCACCTTTTCAATTGCTTATTTTATTCTATTTTAAAATATACTAAAAACCGACACACATAATATAGTGAGATATATTTTAATTTTAATGTTTCGTTTTATAATACGATTTTGAGAAAATGAAAATGTTTTTTTTATCGATATTAATATCAAATTAACAATTTAAAAGTTTTTGTTTTTTTTGTATTATCTTTTTTAGTATAATTTAATTTAGGTTTAATAACGAAGTAATTAATTTTATATCTAATAATAATAATGTTTTTTGTAAAAATAATAATTCTTAGTTCAATCTTTTTATTATAATTTATTTTTGGTTTAATAGTATAAATTTTTTAAAGATAATAATTAAGTATTTTGTTATAACTTAATAAGTATCTTAATTATATTTCATATTATTTATATTTAACAATGAGATGTTTATCAGTTTGTTATATGAATTCAACGTATAGCTTTAAAAAGTTGTACCCATGCACCATTTATTTGTAATCTTGAATTTTAAGTAATGTACATTATTAAATAGTATTTGATGTATTAAAAATGACTTTTAAGAGTTTTACTCAAATGCGTTGTAATATAGTATAGATTATACGTATCAAAGCCTAATCAAATGTATTAATAAAGGATAATTTCTATACTCAAAATCATTTACAATAAATTTGAGTGGTATGTTAATGATAGTGATCATTGCTTTATCTTATGTGCTAATCTATAATATTAATAATGAAAACACAATTTTTTTATTAGATTAATTTTAATATATATTTTTATCCGTTTTTGCTTGGTTCTCTCGGTTTTTTTTCCCGAGACGCTCCCATAATCTTTTCGATGCGTGTTTAATATATATATTTTTATATTATATGTATATATAAATTATCTTAAATATTTAATTAGAAAATTGAAAATTTTTATTGAATGAAATGTTGTAAATTTAATAAAAAATAATAATTTATTTTTACGGTTTATATATGGATTTGCCGGTTTGTATAATATAAACGGCTACTTACATAGCAGAAGAAGTAGTTTGCTTATGGCGTCAAATCGAAGTAAAGAGAGAAGCATTTCAATGGTTCTGGTACCAACCGCAGGTGCAGAATTCTCCATATATTTGCGTTTCTTTTACTTTCGTCACCCTCAATTGCTCTGTTCTTTCGTAAAGCCAACTGCTAACTCTCCTTTTTCTGGTTTCTATTTTGTTATATATATATATATATATATATATATATATATATATATATATATATATATATATCTGTTGGCACGATCCTCCATTTTTGAATTAGTGTGAAGATTTCAACTTTTCAAGGGATCCAGGTTTAGATTCCAGGCTAATTTTGATTTTGATTGAGGTGAATTTCTAAATTTGGTTCGGATTTTGTTATGATGTGCTTTCCTCTACGGCTGTTTGCCAATTGATTTGTGTATAGTTCCAAATTGAACATTATTAGAGAAATTATTCCTTTCTAATTTGATATCTATGTTTATATTCTCTTTTCGCTTTCCCTTTTCCTCCTGAAAGAAGGAAAAAGATGGGAGAATTGACAGGTTACCAGTTGGGGGTTATTGGTGCATTGTTTCTATCAGTGGCATCATCAGTCTCCATTGTTATCTGCAACAAAGCCTTGATGAGCAATCTTGGTTTTCCTTTTGGTAAACTCCATTATATTATATCACCATTTTTCTTAAAGCTCACTTTTCTACACTTATAGCACTCTTCGGGGCTGTGTGGTTGGTTTTCCATTAAGTCCTACATGGATAAAGCTGTTTGTATGGATTAATCTGTCTTTATAGATTGGAAATGTTTTTGTCTGGGAGGGTTTTTCCATATACAGAGGAGCATTTATTTTAATTGGTAAGAGGTTTGAAAAAAAACTTGGCTTTCTGCATAAAGCTCTCCGTAAAAGCTTAATGGCTAAGTCACTTTCTATATCATTAAGCTAATACCAAACAGTCATATATATAACTGACCTAATAAGCTGTCAGTCCCATTAAGCTGCTAACAAACAGGCCCGAAGGATTTGACAGTTGACACTGTTTTGGTGTCATGTGACTACCATGGTTAGGTGCATGTTTTATCACTTCTTATGGTACGGAATAAAGATTAATGTGTGCTTTTTGGTTGAAAGCTACAACATTGACTAGTTGGCATCTGATGGTAACTTATTGCACCCTTCATGTGGCGCATCGCTTGAATTTCTTCGAAAACAAGAGAATTGATATGAAGACTGTGATTCTTTTTGGCATTCTGAATGGTGTTTCCATTGGTTTTCTTAACTTGAGCCTTGGGTTTAACTCCATTGGCTTCTATCAGGTATGCATTTGTTACAGTTTCTCATCCATACAGTAAAACTTCAAAATCGCCATATGGGTGCATTGATGATATTGCGGTCTCTATCTCGCAGATGACCAAACTTGCAATCATACCTTTCACTGTGCTCTTGGAGACTCTTTTCTTGAAAAAACAATTCAGGTAGCTTAATCAAAATTACCATTTTGTGTGCCTTATTTTTACACGCGAGAAGAATATGATTGTGTTAATCGCTTGGTGTGAAGATAAAATGGGGATCCAAGCATGACATCTTACTTCGGTGAAACCTAGTTTCCTACATGCCGTTCAAGCTTACATCTTTCTGATTATTATTCGAACTTATAACTTATTGCAGTCAGAAAATAAAGTTCTCTCTTTTCGTTCTACTTGTTGGAGTTGGCATAGCATCAGTGACAGATCTTCAGCTCAATTTCGTTGGGACGGTTCTTTCTCTTCTAGCTATCGCCACCACTTGTGTCGGACAAATTGTATCCTCTTTACTTCATTCAATCAATCCTGTGGTTTTACGTTCGTAAAATGTTCTATTTTTACTGAAAAATGTATAATTTGAAACAATCAGAAGGATCATGAAGTTCATTCTTAACCAAATTTCACAATTTTAGCTGACAAACACAATTCAGAAGAGACTGAATGTGTCATCAACTCAGCTATTGTATCAATCGGCCCCATTCCAAGCAGCTATTCTGTTCGTCTCTGGCCCTTTGGTGGATCAGTACCTCACCAACCAAAATGTTTTTGCCTACAAATACTCCCCTATTGTTTTGGTACTCTTCCATTACCATCATTGTACTCATGAATAGTTCCTACAATGCATTGCTCACTTGCACGGTACAAATGATCGATGCATGGTCAAATCTATGTATTCTGAAGCATTTTTTCGGCATACATCATGGGATAGTAAAATGTTGAACTGAATTTGATGATGGTTGCAGGTTTTCATTATAATGTCATGTTTGATCGCGGTTTCAGTGAATTTTAGTACATTTTTGGTGATTGGGAAAACATCACCGGTTACATATCAAGTTCTCGGTCATCTAAAGACATGCCTTGTTCTTGGATTTGGGTACACCTTGCTACATGACCCTTTCACTGAGAGAAACATCATTGGAATACTGGTAGCCATTGCTGGAATGGGGTTGTATTCTTACTTTTGTACCCTTGAAAACAAAAAGAAACAGATGATTGACTCTTCCGGATCCCAGGTACATAAACATACCCCTCTTTAGAAGTTATATATTTACATGGAGGGAGATTCAGGAGAAAACCCTCCAAAAAAATGAAAATTTGAGGAACACCATGATAATCATTCATTTGGACAGTATGTACATTATGCCTACAAGTAATTGAAAATGTTTTCTGTTTTTTATGCATGTGTGCACATGATCTAAATTACTTGCATGCACACGTGCATACCATCCAAATGAACGGTTATCAGAGTATTCCTCAATTTTTCATTTTTTTTTTTGCAGTTTTCTCCGAACCTGACCCTATTTACATGATCTAGATTCAAATGAGAACCGTAATTTTGAAAAACTGGGAACTAACTATTTGACTTTTTTAGATTAAAGATAAAGATAGCAGTGCACAACTTTTGGGACATGAAGAAGAGAGAGGAAGTTTTGAGGTTACAAAAGCAACCAAAGACTCTCTTGTTTAAGTTGAAGAATCAAATAGCAATTTTTAGATGTTCCATTTTCTTGTTTAATATCATCATACTTTCTATTGAATATGATGGGATTCTTTATTCTTTTAAATAACACTATAAATATGCCATTTTTTAATTGGTTTGTAGATACCACAAGAACTTGTATTTGTAATACACTTTGTGTACTTTACTTTTTATTTTGAATGGTTTTGTATTAATTTTTTATGGTTTCACAGACAACCATACCCAAACGGTAGGTCCGTCTAAGAACGGGACAATGTATCTTCCCATTATTCCAAATCTTTCATTCTACATAACCTAAGACTTTGATACGACTGTATGAATTAAGTTATCTGTATGAGCTAAGTTAAGTTGTTGTATTAACAAATAATTTAAATGATAGAAACATCTGTTTTACGCTTCTTTTTATATCGTTATGATTACGGCATTGACGACAAAAACACAGGACTTATTGATTTATGTTTAAGACGGACGGAGTATCTTTTTCTATTTAATTTGCAGTTAGTTATTTATAAAAATAAAAGAAAAAAATTAGCGCGCTTTCCGCGCCTGGTTTGACACAGTTTTGAACAGAAGAGATGGGGGATAATTTCAACCTCCTACCATACCTTCCTCATTGATCACAAACCTCCTCCGACGGGCACGATTACTCTCTCCGGTGACGTTCTAGTGCCGGACGAGAGAGGACGACGGCTGAGGTATCCATGTTGCATATTCAATTCCTGATTTTATTTAAAGAATTTTCCAAGTTTCTTACAATTTTATGTGAGCATTACTTGTTTGATTAGTAATGACCACGAAATCTCTTCTTTCTTCGTTAGGAATCATTGATTGTATTCCATTTTCAATTTCACGCAACTGTCAAATTGGACATGAATGTGTGCATTCTTAATATGAGGATTCCCCCCGGTTTTTGTTGATTAGCTTTCAACTTCGTAAATCGTGTGATTGCTGTTTCCGCTGGTCTTCGGTTTCAACTTGTTCCTTTACAATTTAGGTTGTTTTGTTGATATTTGAAGGAAATTTAGAAATTCCTTGAATGTGTTTACCTTTTTGCATCAGATGGAATAATTATTGTCGATTTATTAGTTAATTCAAAGTTTATCTTTTTCGTTTAATTTGGTTATGAGAAGAACATTTAGGAATGCAATAATTTGATGATATACCGCAACATAAATGCAAATCGCCCATTATTTGAACTTGCTAATAAATGCAATTGATTAGGCATTGCATAGCGATCATATATCAAAATCTCTTGTTGATGGCCTTATTTACATGATTACTTGGATTACTTTTTTCTTACTGTGTTCAAGCTTTATTTTTTCATGTTGCTGTGATTGTCTCGATCTATATATTTTTAGGTTTAAGCCAGTTCTATTGTCTTGAAGCTACTATGAATGTTGAAGCTCAAAGAAAGGAGGATATAATGGGTGCATTAGATAAAGCTCCTTCAAGCCTTTCAATCCGTGGAGAAAAGGAGGAAGAATCAGATGACTACTACAGTTACTCGGATTCTGTAGAAGATACACGTTCAGAAAATAGCTGGTCTGACTTATCCCCTCAGGTGCTAGTTTTAGTACTTGGTGCTTTTATTCTTTTTCTTTCCTTTCTGTTTTGCTCTTTTTGGCCTGTTTTTATTACAACAAGAGGAGGGAGGATCATCAAACCCTCGACCAGTAAGATATCCCTTAGCATGGGACTTTTGTTTTATGTTACAAATAGCTATTAATACATTCATCTAAATGTACATGCACAGAAACATGAAGCTAAGCTCCTTGTTGGACATGTTTCAGGAAGTTCCTCCTCCCAAGTTCTCGCTTGCTGTTACGTTTCTGAAAAGATTGCATGGTTCAATAGGTTAGTTCACTTGAGGTGATCTTTACTAAATATTGTATGTAGAACGGTTGGCCTTTTTCCCTTTCTTTTTGTTGTTTCCATACTAGTTCTATACTGGTTTCACGAATTGGCTGCGGATTACAATCGGTACATACTGCAGTGCAGAAAAGGGGTGTTGCACCCTTGGAGGACATTGAGTGGCAAGATAGTTTCTTAAGCAATAATGACTCTTCATTTCCAAATGATCCAACTGGTGATCTGCCTAATAGTTGGGGAGCTGCAGAGTCCTCATCATTTCAAATTCGTGGAGAAACTTATTTGCAAGACCGTAAGAAGGTGAACATTCATTTATTAATGCTTATTCATTGCTTGCTCAAGAGTTGCGAGAACTGTCCTTTTGTGAAAAAGTTGATTATTTATATTTTCAATTGTCTTCATTGTGATCTTCATCCCTGTCCCTTTTGCTAAGAGGGATTACCTTTATGGTTGGACTGCACCCCATGCCTCCATCACAGGATGAGGTTGATTCAAGCCTCTCCTTTTAATTTCTCTATTTGATGAACAAATGAAGAAATGTTCAACATTTCGGGCTAAGAAAGAAAAAGAAGAGGTAGAATTGTCAAAAAGTAGTCTACTAAACCAAACAAGAATCATGAGGGGTAGGGGGATTCAGGGATGGATTGATCCAGGTTTAAGATAGCGTTATGTAACTCCTATTTCTTTCCTTTCAGATTACAGGGAAAGGAACATTGATGCAACTTGTTGCAGCAAACATGCTGAGATCAACCAAGAAACAAGATGATTTTGCTGGCCGGCCTGGTAGCATTTGTCAGGTTGTCTTTTTTTATTTCTAAAACAAATTGCGATAATAGAGTGCTGTTGATAAAACTGTAACTCAACTCAATTTAACCTTAATTCCAAACTATCAAATATACCAACTCAAATAAACTTTTGTTCACAAAACACATTCTTCAATATCCTCTCCTACTGTAGGCCAGCTCTCAGCACCAAGTCTAGTCACCTTCTTCTGCTTATATATAGGTTACATTTGCTTTGCTTCCATCATTATCTGTGTCAACTTCCTCATATTGCAAGTGATTGAGTGAACCTCCTCACTTGTGAATTCAGAGGTTGACCTTATAACAGGTAAGCAAAACTGTAGCCCCTATTTCTCATTTTCTCAGTTACAGCCACCCTTACCTTCTTTATCTCCAGTCCACATCCTATTCATCCTTTTGTAGCCACCTCACATTCACCTTGGCATTTGCATATTCCTAGATTAGAAAGACCATGGTGATATCTTTGTAGTTAGGCCTTGGCCTTGATGCTCAAGTCCCAGTTTCTAGTATAACCTTTAGATCTGTCGGTGTTTCACCACGTCTCCAACTTATAGTTCACTCATATTCTGGTGTCAAATAGCATCATAATAACAAATGAAAATTACCATATACCATGGACTTCTGTCCAGTATATCATTTGTTAGTTCATAAAAAACGCAATAGCATAAGGTGTCAAAACAGTTTTTGGTGTATGGTCATCTGCCATCAGAAGAGCTACCACTGTATCATGCATACTTTGTAGAACCTTTTCAAACAGCAATTTAAATATATAGCGAATCCTTTGCAATCGGAAAGTTCACTAGATGTGTTCTGCAGAAATTTGCAGCTGCCAACTGCCCAGATTTCTTTTTCATCGTAAATATGCAGGTAAATTTGAAAATATTAAAGTATATATTGTCACATTATCCATTTCCAGGAAGAAAATGAATAAAAAATGTATATGAGCTACAGTGAGTTTATTAACCTGATCTAAGGTATGTTTTAATTAACCAGATCCCAGGTCCAACAACAAATTTTCATATTGCTTTCTACTATGCAACGACTACTCCCATCAAAGATGTGCCCTTGCTACAGAGTTTTGTAGAAGGAGATGATGCATATAGGAACGCAAGGTTTAAGCTCATACCTCATGTATCTAAGGTTGGTAGATTCAATCTCAGTGTCGGTTTCTTTATCATCAAGCTACTTGTTACAAAAGCTCATTATGATCCGAGTCTCTAGTTCCTGTATATGATTCATTGATTAATATTTTTAGTGTTAAATTCTCATCTATTCAAGATGAAGCAAATAGTAAATTCATTGGTCTTCTTAGTAACATCAAACATTTAAGTAAAAAATCTATTCAATTACTAAATCTTCTTTCAGGGGCCATGGATTGTCAAGCAAAGTGTTGGAAATAGACCCTGCTTGCTGGGTCAAGTTCTCAAGATTCATTATGCCCGTGGAAAGAACTACTTAGAGGTAAAACTATTGTCCTACCTCTACTTGGCCTTTGTGTCTTTTTTCCTCATACCATGAGAAGTTCTAGAATCCATACCAAATTCACAAAGAGCTCTACTCATCCAACTAGCCAACCCTGTTGCGCTAAAGTGTTTCCGAAACCTTCCTTCTTTTTGAAGGAAAAGAACGGAAAAAAAAAACCATGTGATCTTTAAACTTTTTAAGAGGAAAGAGAAGGAATGGAGGGATATCATTTATGTTTCCTCCCAAATGCGAGAAGAAAGAAGATTTGAAAGAAGTCTGTGATCTTTTATGACAAAAATACCCTCATAAGGAAAATTGAGAAAAATTAAATATAAAGAGGTATATTTGTAAAAACAACATCTTTCCTTTCTCTACGGTTCTAAGAACATAAAAGATTGCTTCCTTTTTATTCCTTCTCTTCCATTTCAAGAACACAAATAAAAAACTTCCTTTACTTTCTTTTCTTTTCTTCCCAAATTCGAGAACACGTTAAGGAAACAGAAACAAATTGGCTTCCTCCCCTTAAATGATACACCTCTCACTGATCCATCCTCTGAAAGCTATTACAATGACGTTCATTCATGCCTTTTTCTGAAGTTATGTTATGATTTTAGCTCGATGTAGATGTTGGTTCGTCGATGATCGCAAAGAAGGTGGCAAACACAGTTTTGAGTACCTTCAGCCATTTGATAGTTGAAGCAGCATTTCTGATACAGGTACATTAACTTAATCTTCACTAGTCATTGAAGCCTCTAACTCCTCACAGAAAAAAGAAAGTTAATGATGGGGATCAACGCTGATCTTTATCCTTGTTTATGTTCAATTCCATGTTTTTAAATCGAGGAAAACAACTCTATATTCGTTAGAGTCCACATCAGCTAGACTTGAACCATATATGTTAGGACCTCTATTGTCTCCTGAAAGGCTCTTTTGGAAAGTAATATGGGATTCTAGATATTCTCAGATGGTATCAGAACTAAGGTCTACCACTAAAGACCCAGCAATCTGGTGCAATTTGTACTTGTCTAGCCCCCTCTTGCACTCTTGGACAATTTGTGTCCATCCAGCCTCTTTTGGAGGGCACGTGTTAAGAGTCTCATATCGGCTAGACTTGGACCTCTATTATCTTTTCAAGGGCTTTTTTGGAAGTAATCTAAAGGGGTTCCGGATGTTATCACATGGTATCAGAACCACGGTCTACCATGATAGACTCGACACTCTGTACCTGTCTAGCCCCCTCTTACACTCCGTCCAGCCTCCCTTTGAGGGGGGCATGTTAGAGTCTCTCACATTTGTTAAACGTGGACCATTTCTCGTTGGAACCTCTATTATCTTTTCAAGAGCTTATCTGGATGCATAAAAGTGGAAATGTGTTATGGATGCAGGGAAACACGCGAGAGGAACTACCAGAACATCTTCTTGGGACATGTCGTATGAGCCATATCGATATCTCGAAAGTGGCTTGTACATAGATGGGGCAATATATATAAATATATTGCAAGAAAACTGTATAGGCAAATCTGTGAACTGGAGGTGTGTTACTTCCTCAAGAGGGTTCACCCCCTAAAGGCTAAAAGGGTGATTTAGAAGATTACAGCAGTAGCAGCAGTAACTTTTATTTTGTTTCATTTTTCATTTTTGTTTTTATTGTCTTCAAACCAACCCTGCTGATTAGAGGCTAAACTGTTAGCCACTAGACCAAAAAAAGTAATATATGATGATGAATTGTTGTAATTTTGGGGGCATATCCAGAAATTGGTCAAAGTGATGCAAACCTCTTTTCTATCTGTTCTTACAGTTTTAACCCAACCTTCATAAATAAATGGTGTATATATTAATATCTGCTTAATTTTGCATCTATCATCTGGGACATCAATGTTTTTGTCTTTCTCTATTCTTGTTTTATCCGATAAGCGTTTATTGACAGAAGTCACCACCTTCACATAACCTATTGGGTAGCATTTTTGTTTATCAAAACGGATTATTGGTAAGCGTCTCTTAGGCAGTTGCGTTAATTGGGTAAGAGTATTCTCCTACACTTGTTGGGTAAGATTTCGGTTCTGACTATGCTCACTTGACAAGGTAAGTGACACTTAGAATAGAAAAAAAAAGAGTTTTTGTTGCTAACAACTTTTCTATCTTGTTATCTAATTAGAGAATCATGGAGAAAACTCTAAATACAGAGAATTCTCTAAAACTTGATGTTGGGAGAGAGAAATGATTATTTTATTTAATTATACCAATAAGATTGAGTTATTTTTTTTTATGAAAAGTTTTTTTAAGTGTATTGGATAAATTAGAGAATATTATAATAAATATAATTTATGTTAAAATCTCTAAATTAGATAATTTGTTGGAGATGAATGTAATTTTTAAAAAAAAATTACGCTTCGATTCTCTATTTTAGAAAAATTACAGAAAAGTTGTTGGAGATGCTCTAAGCGCTTAAATGATGAGCATTTATCTAGCGGATCTTTTCAAGTCCTTGTACTATCGGTTATCACTTAGAGTAAACTATTTTTTCTGTCCCTGTGTTGTTAAACGTTGCTAATTTTGTCCATATGGTTTTGAAATTGGGGTTTTTATCCCTACAATTTGCAATTTCTTTGGCTTTCCAACTCTGTTTAATTTCTGCTGTTAATTCAGGTGCATTTTCGTATTTTTAGGTTTTATCAAATTTAAAAAAAAAATTTGCCAAAAAAAAATTAAAACCTCACCGTCTACGGATGCGGTAGTCCCCGCCGTAACCCTGTGAAGATGAAAAAGATTTTTGTGTGAGATTTTTATGGAAAAGGGTTTCAAATAAACCAGAAATTATAAGAGAATTTCAGACTAATCGGGATGAACACGGATTAGCAAATAGTACACCACTTAGTCGACCCCTTGTTGTTTTTCCATTTCCTAGTTGTTTGCAATCAGCAAGCAACAATCAACAATCAGCAAAGGTAACCTTTGCTAACCGACCCCCCTCTTTTCAATTTGACCTCGTCTATTCTCGATCAATCCCACCTTTGTTCGGTCTTTGATCGTGAATTCCGAGTGTTCGACCTGTGTTCACAATACCATTGCTAACCGACCCCCTTCTTTTCAATTTGACATCGTCTATTCTCGATCAATCCACCTTTGTTCGGTCTTTTATCGTGAATTCCTAGTGTCCGACTTGTGGTCACAATTAGATTTGTATCAAGATTGTGGTTATGGAGTCCAACTCAACCACATCGATACAATATTACTAACCTAACCGAGTTAGCTTCATGGATGAAAAACGAAAGAAAATGCAAAACATAGGCATGAAAATTGTAATTTTGAAACTACAGGGACTAAAGTGACAATTTTAAACAAACTCTAGGGATGAACAGCCCATAGTATTATTGGTCTAATTTAAAATCAATCAAACATGACATTCATTAGAATATCAAATTTCATCTCAAAAAAATTGTATATTTTTCTTTAATGTTTGTTTTAAAATACTCAGATATTGTCATTTATTTATTAACAAGTGTAATAACCATATATATTTAAAATTACATGGTATTTTTTTTGTACACGATTATTTTGTAACGAATAAAATATTATTTTAAAAGAGAAGATATTTTAAAGATTTATCTAACAAGCATCTTACAAATGAGGCTTTTAATTTAGGGGCCGTTTACCAAACACTTACCTGGTAAGCGTTTACCGATAAATTTAACACTATCATTTACTTACCAGGTAAGATTTTAGTCCACCAAAAAACGATATCGTACGAAACAATTTACTAGGTAAGCGCTTACCATGGTAAGAGTCGTCGTCCTCACTTACCGGATAAGACTCTTGGTCTTTGTCACGCTCTTACCGGATAAGATTTTTGATCCTTACCATATTCATCCGGTAAAGTAATGTAACTTGATGTTCACTTACTCGAATAAGCGTTTGGTAAACAGCCCCAAATATCACCTGGTTTTTGAGTAGTAATGAAGGTGGCTAAGACTTGAATCTTGAGATTGCATTGATTTGGATACCCAACACAAATCCATTACATAAAAAAATCTATCTGGAAATCAAGAATAATACACAGATGATTGATGATCCAAATCATTTCAAAATCTGTAAATAATAATAATAATAATGATAATTAAAAAACATAAATCAATCAGTTGATCACATCAACCAACCAACCAGCCTACACAATCAAAATTATACTGTACATCTCTTTCTGTTGCTGTTGCTGCTGCTGCTTTTCCCCCATGTTCAAACAGGTCTAGTTTCACTCCAAAACCTTGACTTCTTGGTCAACCTTCCAATAGTTAGCATCATTAAACTCTTTCATTCCTTCACCCCTACCTTCTTCTCCTCCTTCCTTTTCTTTTTCTTCTTCTGCTATGTTTTTATCCTTATTTGGTATTATGACCACTTTCCTTTTTAAAGCCCCTGCTTCCCCTACAATCCCTTCCTTGAGAGCTTCATCCATGGCTTTCTCTGTCCCTTCAACTTCTACCCCCACAAACTCCACATCTTCTTCAAACAAAGAAACCCCACCACCAGCATTGGCTGGCGGCCCATCACTCGGATTACTCGAACACAATGTGCCATTCTCTCCAGATGAAACTGGACTACTCATAGACGTACCTGCTACTGCTACTGTCTCCTCACTGGGACCAGGGGCAGGGGCATTACCGTAATCTTCAAACGGGTTCACCCCTGGCCCACCAACTGATGATGGCTTCTCCCATCCTACCCACTCGGGTATAGGCCTCTCATCTACTAATGACTCTTCGTTGTCTGTTGTCTCCAATCTGAAAAACCCACTATCATTGTTCTTCAAGTCTGCTCCATCTGCTTCTTCGCTGAAGGGATTTGGATTTGGGTTGGAACTAGATGTACCATTGTTGGAATTCTTGCAAGCCACCAATTCATCATCCTCTCCAACCACCACTTCGTCGTCACTACTGCTGTTACCACCATGAGATGCTCCTCCATTCAAGTTTATCTCATCCAGTATTTCAGAAGCTGAGGTGGGTGCATCGTTTATGTTGTCATTTTGAAAAGCAAACCAATTTGAATTTGTAAACAAACTGCTGCAACAAAGAAAGCAAACTTGTCAATTGTAACTTCAATCTGTCAGATTTTGATTCTATCTAGTCAACGTAACACATAAAGAACCCCCATCCTATATTTAGGGCCTGTTTGTTTATGGGACTCACAACTTATTCAGTCAGCTATAGATGACCGTTTGGTAGTGGCTTAGGGCCTGATTGTTAGCAGCTTAATGAAACTCGTAACTTATTCGGTCAGCTATACATGACTGTCTGATAGTGGCTTAATGATATATAAAGTGGCTTATTCAGTAAACTTTTAGAGAGAAGCTTTATGCAGAAAGCTAATTTTTTTTCCAAACATGCACCTCTCGATTAAAAAACACGCTCTTTCCATCTATTAAAAAACCCTCCCAAAGAAAACCTTCCCAACCTATACACAGATTAATTCACAAAGACAGTTTTATTCATACAGGACTTAATGGAAAACCAACCAAACAACCTCTTATCCGGTAAGCTTCTAGGTGGAGCTTTATGCAGAAAGCCAAGTTTTTTCCAAAACCTATTCATCCCAATTAAAAAACATGCTAATTCCATCTATGAAAAAACCCTCTCAAACAAAAGCCTACACAATATATAGACAAATTAATCCAACCAGACAGCTTTATTCATACAGGACTTAATGGAATACCAACCAAACAACCCCTTACTTCCTACTATAAGTCGTAAGATTTTCTTCCACATCATTCCGTTACTTCTTACTTTAGAGATTCAAGAAACAAACCTTCCTTGGTCATCACCTAGCCTAAGGGATGATATAACAACTTCAGCAGATTCATCATCAAAATAACCCTCCTGCATTTCACATACCACAAACTTACTCATTTAAAGTGGTTCAGAGATTCAGAATAAAACCGACTGAGATACACTAACCCACGCAATAAAGAACAAAATAGTAATACCAACAGCACTTTGAAAGTGTGCGGTAATATCATACATCATATAGCATTAATTGACGGAGATGTTACCTCGTCATCTCGATCAAGAGTCCCATGGCCCTGCAACAAGGTTAAGGAGTAACAAAATTACGACAATAAGCTTGAGCGAAGAGATTACGCACATACATACAAAAAGGGTTGTCAGCATACCTCATCACCATCATCGTTGTCATATATGTTGTACCTAAATGCTTGACTTAGATTATTTGCTAGAGCAGCAACATCATAGTCTCGGCTATGAATATCGTCCTCATCACTATCCCTATTCCTCTCTTGTAGTGCAGTTGGTCGACTGAAATATCAAACATAAACAGATAACCATCACTAATTTGAATAATGTCTATACACTTCACAAATTCCAGCCAAACATTCAATAGCATCAACCAGACTTCATCGCCTTTTGTAAATAACCAGAACTTTATTTTGCAGGAGAATTGAACAGGAATTTACGCGGATCTTTGGCGTTCATATAGAGGTTCATAAGCTGAATACTTCCATTACAACAATCAGTCACTTCACGATAGAACTTGGGATGTGATAGAAGATAGTCTATAGCAAGATCAACAGTTCATGGTGAAAGGAACTGACAGGAGGCTTGGGTTAGACAGGTGGGAGACTTTAAGGCTTGCCCCAGAGATGGAAATGGATTTAAAAGGAAAATGCTCATGGGAAAAGAAACAGGAACTAAAATTTACAACACAAACAATTTTATGCCCCCCACCCCCAAGCCACAACCATGTGCTTTCACCCAGAATCCTTCCTCCACCAACCCCTGAATCATATTATTGTTGCATCATCTTTCTTAAACTAAGTCTTGTTTTGAAGGGTGGCAGCAAGATTGTTTATCTTCAACAGCAATTAAGCCCTCTATTTTGATGTAGCCTTGCAAAATTATGTAGTCGAATGCGAGTAAACGTATGTGCAAACATCATGGAAGTATATAAGATGCTTTAGGAGAGAAGGTGCAATAAACGTACCCGCAAGCCCACCGATACACATTTTCAACCAGATTGCGTTCCTGTAAAACTGTAGTCTGCCAATCATTCCATTCACTACTTTCCTAATAACAAGAGCGAGTGGTCAAATAAGGATGTGCATGAAAAGTACAAGATCAGATAATCAGCTGACAAAAAGTAGATTATTCACTTCAAAGTTCAAATAACCATTTTCCGAAGAATTGCCATTGTAGCTATGTTTTGAACCAGAGTGGAGATAAAAATATATATTCAACATTTGGAAAGATGATGTCAAAATACATAGACTTGTTTATAAAATACGGATAGCAGGCTGCTAAACTTTTTAAGATGGGTAAAAGAAAAGTTGAAAGTACTTCCAGTTTCCTAGCACAAATGAAAATGTTGTAACATGTATCACCAGTGTCCCATGATATCACCATTACAAAAAATAAAAAATAGAAAGAATTCAAGCAACCAAAATTTAGTTGAATTCCATTTTTAGTGAAGAAATGTAACAAGTACTTGAAAAGGTTCCTTATACGAAATGGGCATCTACCACTCTTTCCAAAAATAATTACACACCTGAATATGTGTCTGAATGCGGCTATCACAATTTCCCAACTGTATGATCTTATTGGCGATACGTGTGACATGTCCAAGGTTCCCAACCCGGGGTGCATTTCTTCCAGCAGCAGGCAGCGTTGGCTGCATGATTAAAAGCAGATTTTACATAAAAATACAAGTAACTAGTTTCCATACTATACATATGGTATTAACTGTAGCCATGGTTACAGAAAGTGAAGAGACTACTGCTCCAGATGGGCTTGTTGCTAGAGGCATCCTCTCAACTGAGATTTTTGAAAATTGGCATCCACAACAAACAATTAAACACATCTAAAATGCCTCCAGTTACCTGATCAACTTCACCAGAAAGGATGGGACTCCTATCTGTTTGTAGAATCTTTGTCGTGAGACCACATTCTAGAAATAGATGATCAATGATGGTATTGTTTTTGCTTTCTAGGCAGGATAATATTATGCTCTCAACATGATGATGCAAAGCATTATTATATGGGTACCTACAGCAAATAATAATAAGAGATACTTTTAGATCCTGCATCATTTTTCACCATGGTCAAGCATTCTACAGTCAGCTAGCTGTGAATTATTTATTGTTACAACAGCCTAGAAAGGAAGAATAAGTGGCGTTTTACTCGAAAAAAAGATCAAGAACTCTTTGAATGGTTCCAGAGCTAATTAATTCCTTCTCTGCAATTTCATTCCCGGTCTTCAATAGAACTGCAATAAACTCCACAATCTGCAAGCAAGTAATATGACCATTCATGAAAGTGAAACGGGGGCATGGAAGAACTAAAGTGCTACCGAGACAAGGTCATTGTGAAATTAATCAACTAGAAGTGCAAGAAAGAGAACAACAGACATGCATTGCGGTATAACTGCTTTTCAGTTTTGTCACAATTTACTGCTTTTATAATTGCCAAAGTACAGTGGTTCTTATCCCAGACAACATGGTTAACCAAAATTTCCGCTTGCAATAATGTCTATCACCAGATACAAACTAGTTTAACATCACCAATAATTGTTCTTATGAGAAATGATAAGCAAGCATTCCATACAAGAACCAGCAACATTTCAGGTTTACTAACCTTTAGTCGATGCTTCCCTAGAGGAGGCTTCAATTGGCCATAAGTAGTTGGTAAAATCTTCTCATCCAATGAAACATTCAATAAGATCAACAGGTCACCTGAAACACCAGAGAAGCATTCATGCATAAAAGCTTGATACTACACCAAACTCAACAAGAACAAGTACCATCAAATTCATATATTACAGCATCTTATTTAGAATACTTTCTTGGTAATCATGATAAACAAGCAACCTACTTCATCATGATCAGAAACCGGTTTCATTCTATTAGTATATGCCATCTATATTCCTTAACATGTTCAAAGCAATACGAAAGAAGAACTGCACAAAACCTGGTGCTTTGAATGTAAGCAATTACGTCAACACAAGCTTCTGTTCTTATAACATCACTATTAACCTTTTTCTCAACATTACACATTGGCAATGTGCTCATGTTATTAATTTTCAACTTATACAAAAACCTATGTTGTTTTGAGAAAGTCAAAAGTTTTCACACCAAATGGGATTTATTGAATGGTGAATTCAGATTGGCTAGAGTCTAGACTCACAAGCATGTTTCACCAAGCTCTAAGAAATCTCAAGTTTTCATCCTCAAGAACTATAAGTTCAAGAAAGCAACTCTAATTCTGAAGATTCTACTCACAGCCGTCTCCAATTTTAAGGTATTGCCAGTTCACTTCTGTTGATGGATCAATCTTGACCAGTTTTACCCATGATACATGCAGCTTGAATTCAAGGGTGGTTTCCTACAGGTGATGTAATGAATACTTAGATAAAGGCTAGAACAATAAGCATAATTTGATTTTTATGCCATAGGAGATGCATACAGTTGCTATTAAACTTGACAGTCACCCGGCCTAGAATACATCTTTTCAATGTGTTAAGCCTGTGTAGCTACCTATACCACATTAAACTTAAAATGTGCTGCTACAGGAGAAAACCACTGAAACGCTTCATATTGCAGAAGTACAATCTTGGTGTTCCAGAACAAGACTACACTCTAAGCCTAGCAAAATAATATGAGAAAGAAAAGGCAGGGAGAAAAAAGTTATAATTGGCAAGACTTGATTATCAAACAAGCAAATTCCTGTAATACTAAATAGTAGCATAGCTGTAGAAACTAGAAAGACAGCATATAAGATTCATTTCTTCATGCGTTGATAATATTGCCATTTTTGTGCTTCAAAATAGAGTGTATACAATTATGTGTGTGTATATACAAACAAGCACAAGGTTAGGGATACTAGAAATCACATCATGCACATAATGCTGTAGCACGAGTAAGATGAATCATATGTACAAGAGCACAGCTTGATATAGAAATTAATAAGATGAATCATATGTACAAAAACTCACCAAGTTTGGGCAGCATGGCACCAACAGTCTCCTGGTTAACTTGCACTGGTGACTCGTATACATGTTGACCTCGAAAAGAATGAAATAACAGCGAAGGAAGTGATCTTTTTGGATCCAACAAGGATATACACACAGACAGTGAGTGGACAAGTCCTGATTTTGAATGTGAATCTTCTAATGCATGACCAAATATCCTTGTCACGAAACTGATCAAAAATAATAATAACCATAAGTATAACCCTTAATAATGCATCCAGTATATGAGGTTAAACAAATACAGACCTTGAACTAGAAAGTTTAGAGGCAAGAGGAGATGGCGCATTTCTTGTTATAGCACATAATGTTTCTGCCGCATTAGCATGTACTTCAGAAGGGTTCTGAGGCAATGAAATAGAAGTTAAGAGATTATTAAAGAAATCAGCACTTGTAGAAAATAATGCCACATTAGATGTTCAAATAAAGTGCAACTTTTCCAGGGAAGCCATAAATAAAAAACAAATTTGCACATTGAGTATGGACATCAGAGCAAGATTGAAGAACAGTCAAAAAAGTTCAAAAACTTGTTTGGGAGATCCTCCAAGTGTTTCTTTTCTTTTCATATGTTCTCTATTTGTGAGCATCAACATTTAACTATGTTATAGTTTTCAAACTGACTTCCTTAAACTACTACCATGCTCTATATACGCGAAGCTCTAATTACAGTCACCAACATAGTACATTTGAAGTATGAGTGTTAACCAGAAGTACAATTGAATTGTTGGATCTACCAGATGAAAGCATTCTGAAAGGCCTACTAAAAGAATCAATAGTATATCATATACACCTGACATCCACAAGTATGTGAGAGCTATCATGATATATGTATATGTAGCAAAGATGAAAATTCACTCACGGAAGGACTCAATTTATCTACTATCATCTCCAACAAGTTGCTATTGGCCAACCACTGCATCACATCTGTAGAATTGGGATAGATATGGTCATCCGCTCCAACAAGTCTAACCAAGACCTGTGTTTAAAGAGAAGATCGAAATAACCAATTATTTCTATAAACGAGCGATAGAAAATTTGAAGTACAATTGCTTTATATGGCATTTCAAGCATGTGGTCAATAAACAATCCATGTTGCAACTTGAATACAAAATGTACCAACCTCCATGATTGATGTAATCCCTATTAAATCAACCAGCTGTTGGAAAACATATTGATGAGCCTGTAAAAAGTTAAATTATAAAACATTTTTTCAATCAGCAAAGGGGGGTGGAGATTCAAAGCCGCAACCACCATAGTAAAACACCAAGGGCAGTGTGGGTACATTCGAGCCACAGCTTGATGGTAAATAAATGATATCGTTGACTTCTTGCTATGAAAAAGTGATCATAACCACATTTACAATAAAGTGTGTATGACTACTTTATGAATCATGCAAGTGCTGGAATTGTCCAACAAAATGTCTTTAAAACAGTCCTAACATAAAATGCCTAGAAACCTGCTATAAAAATTTCAATAGTAATGTTATTAGTTACATAAGCATAAAATATACAGGTCATATGGTCCATGCTCACAGCTACATCCCTAAAACCCATTGTGTCAAACCAAATTCTATTTTTGCAACAAAAAAGGTTCCAATACACTGAAGGCAGAACCACGAAAATAATCGAAACTATATGATTAAACTATGACTCTGCATGTTACAGATGTAACCATCACTATTGCTAAGGTAAGTGGCAGAAAAGTTTGAATGAAGTCCATTTTAGTGTAACTGTGCTTACAACTTTTTCAACTATTATACAAAACAAGAATGAAAAAGCAACAACCAAATCTAAGAGATTGCACTCACTTGAACATAATTCATAAGTGGAACCGTCTTCCGCAACATGAGACATATCACAACCTACAACAAGGCACAAAAAGAGTAAAGCAGTTGCCTTCTACCGGACAAATATATGAATGTTAATAACCAGATATAAAAAGAGTTACAGGATGAAAATCCATTTGTGGCAACAACATTTTACAGCTCTCCTATATTCCTGTGATAAAAGCCTAGAACCATTGATTTAAGTTTGTCATGGACTGTAAAATATATCCACTTTCCCGATATTCAACCCATGAAAATGGCTTCAGTTCAGGTAGAAGGACAAAGACAAGGTCACATCCATCCTGATAGTTCTTGTGCCATCTCTCTCCTTTTAAACCCTCCAAACAACTTTACTATAGGTGATAATACTAGTAATCAAGACGCTAAGGAAGTAGCACTCAGGAACAAACCTTACTGAAGTACCCAGCCAGCAAGGCACTATGAGGGCGGGTTGGCTCCAAGAAGGAGAAAAGTAAATCCATAAGCTGCAAGTTTAGAACAGGGAGAAAGGAGTCACGTGAAACTGAATGTTAGATAAATGTGGCATCAAATACCATTATAATTCTTAAGGTGTAATGTAATATCGGTAGACACACCTCCTCTTCCTCCACTAAGGTCTTGAAGATTACATCAATTTCACATGTAAAGATCTCACAAGCCATGAAAGGGAACCTAAAGCATGAAACAGATTTCAGTTGATACAGCTAAGCGTTGTTATAAACAATAGAATGAGACAGATCACAATAATACTCAAAAGAAATAAAGGGATCAACCCAGTATTTGAAGTTTCTACATGTGTCAAATAATGATCGAAGACCTACTTGAAAGTACGTTTGCTATCAGCATCCTCCTGAGGCTCTTCTATGACATACCGCAATAATTGTTCAACCCGAACTCTATCCCGTAAGCTGGAAAAACAAGTTCTCTTTAAGCATTAAAGGCACATGTTCATATTGTTATACTTGCAGTGGAATAGCATTCAAAGATCAATAGATTATGAACATTAGTGCTAGAAGTATCAGTTTATCTAGATGGGGGAAAGCATATTACTTTAAATTACAAGTGAAGGAAAGTGCTATTACAAATTAATAAGGCGACTGTTTAACGCTTTGCATTCTTGGATTATATCTTCTTCATCCAAGAGCTCTTCCAATGTGAAATTCTCCTTGTCCAATATAGACTCGACCTAAAACATGTTAAAAACCATGTGATTGGAGAAAGCAAACAGCATAGGGTTTAGAAAAGCTCAACTCTGTAAATAAATTGACAGCCAGTCAAATGCAAACATAAATGACCAACAAAATCATTCGCTTTGCAAAATGAGAAAGAACTAGTCTGTGGCAGACATGTGTAGCCTAAATCCATGTAGAAGAAAAAGGTGCAGATATATCAAGCAAAGTAATTTTATCATATTGTGTATGAAGAAGTTAAAGTTTTAATGGCTCGGAAACTAATAAAAAGCATGCAATAGCAGCAAGCAGAGCTGGTCACTTTAGCTTTAAACGAAGATCACATACAGATTTCTACCTCTTCTTTCAGGAACAATGCTTTTATATTGAATACCCTCCAATTATAAGTCATATACCATTGCCATCTCAACCGAAATTTAAAAAACCTTCATTCTTTTTCTATAACATATGATTTGGCAATCAATAATCTTTGTTCATCTGCATGATAGAACATGTGATAAAACTATAATTTTTTCTATGAGATAAAAGAAAAAGTTAATAAGGCACCGAATTTCAGTTACCAATTCACCCTGTCCTCTTGACAAAAAAAAAGAGTCTGTACCCACCTTATAATTTTATGCTGGACCTATCAATCAACACCTGTTCCCATGACAATCCAAATCAAGCCCAAAAAATGTCAATTCAATTTTTAGCTTCCATTGGCAAGATCAATAACCTATCTATAACTAGAAATGTTATAAGCCATTTCCTCACTATCTTCCCTTAGTTAACACCTTTTTCATTAATTTAGCAAATAGATTAAGAATCCCTTAGTTTGCTAAGGATCACCTTTCAGCTCAGTGCAGAATCTAATATTTTAACCAAGTAATCAATACTTACCATAATTTCTCATGAATTCAAAATGCAAACCATAGTAAAGAATTAAAAACCCCAAATTTAAAAGCTACAAATCATTTCTCCTAGTTTCCTCAAGGCAACAACCCAAGTGGATAATTAAAAACCCTGTTATCGTAACCAACCAAGATTTTAAGATAGAAGAACCCATCATCGACTGTGCACTAAATTTCTTATTGATAGTAACGAAGCCGAGCTTCGATTGGGCACCCTAATCTTATGATCTAACGATGCCACAACGCATGTTAACAAACCAATAGTATAACCGGATGTATTATAAAACACAAGAAGTCAAAATTAACATAAAATCACGCGAATAATTAAAAGGGGCACTAGTCATTCAATGTATCGATTAAATCCACGAATTAAATTCAAGAATCTATCCATAAATTACAAATAAATTAGGTTATCATAGCTTACAGGCGAAGAAGCAGATAAGGATGTAAGCTTCCAAAACATGTTGAATTATAAATGGGTTAGATCTGCAAACCCTAGATGGCAAGAGAAAGAGGGAGAACAACTCGAGATTCACGATTGGCCGTTTTGAAATTTTGGAGCGAAAGGCAACAAAAACCCTAATATTTGGATTTTAGAGAGAGAAAAAAACAGTAAAAATCGATGGATTTGATAGAGGGGGAGAGGGACCTCCAAAGTTATCTCAAAATCGGAGCAGCGAGACGGAGGCTGTTGGGCTGTTCCAAGGGAGAAAGGGGGCGGGTCATACTGGTAATACCAGATCCGGATAAAAAACCCGATACATGTGCATCATGCCATGTCGAAACATACGCCACATGATGGATGATGTTATGAATGGATGGATGGTACATTTCGACTAGCTTGAAAGAGATATGTCCCAAATACCATAAATATCTCTATTTATAGGTTATAAGTTTCAGTCCATTCAACACCATTTTGAAACCTTTTGGATGTTTTCATAACTCCAATCAGTTAGACTTCAATCATTTCTTATATGTATATGTTGGAACATCATTTCTCTCCTCAAAAACTCTTTTAGAAATTAATCTGATCGGTTTCTTCAGATAAAAAATATATAATTTCATTTGTTGGATGGTCAGATGCTAAAAATGTACAAGTGGATCATATGAAAATGGGGTTTTGATCCTAATAAACATGATAACTGAGGTACAAGTATACATGTTATTCTTTTCGACAATAGCTAAAATGATTTATACACCACCTCAATATAAATCACTTACAATGATAACGATATCAATGAAGACCAGTTAATTTGAATATCAGTTGAATGATTGTTTTGTGAATTTTCTAAAAATACAGTGAAATAGTCGAGGAATTCATGAGAGATTGCAATTGTTCTTGAAGTGTTGAAATCCTTCATTTATGCACCAAGAAAAAACAATTGCAAGAGGTTGCAGACGTTCAGATCAGCTTGCCTATGAGCATCTGACATTTATCTTTTTGTTAGGCTACATATGTCTAAAATCAGTTGTTACAGACATCCGTATGTTGTCTGTATATAAAACTTGAAAAACTTATTTCGAAAAATGCTAGATGATATTTGACACATCACATCATGGAAAATTAATCTCCATCCTATGATTTGTAAATTCAGATTTTTCAAGGTCAAATACTTCTGAACAGGAGCTTTTTACGCACCCACAAACTTAGTAATCAGGACCAAAAGCAAGTATACGGTTAGTTCTAATATCGTCTTTCAAGTAATAAAACGGTACAAGTACTAAGTATCGTCCAGAGAGTTCGTAGTAAAAGCTCAATAAAAGTATAATGAAAAAAAATGGTTTCAGATGACGATTTTGAAGACTTTGATTTGTGTGAGTTAACACTTGATGAAATTAACAGATAATAAAAGAAAGTCAAGGTGTAAGACTTAGAGTGAGATGTAAATACAATTTCCAGTACACCAATGTTGTAAAAAATGCTACAACATAAACCAATGTTATCAAAATGCTACAACATAAACCAATGTTATCAAAATGCTACAACATGCAATTAGTAACAATTATTTTCACCAATTATTTTGAGGGATTTCTCTCGCACTTCACCATTGCACTGATATTATAGCTTTCAACTGATATATTTGTGTGGTATCCGGACCAATGAAAGTGACAAATGGCATTCTCAAAATATACGGATAAAGAAATTTCTTTGTTAAAAATCATTTTTTCGAGCGAATTCTCATATAATTCAAGTTGATGTGTTCTGAATGGCTCATCTTTGAGTCCATTCCACTTTAACACTTTAAAATAATAAACTTGTCGAGAATTAACTAATTTGGAAAACATCGATAACAAATATCTTTGACAACAGCTCTCTCAAATCTACTTCCCATGTCATCTAAATTGACGTGTAATCAATGGCTCAGCTTAGAGACCATGACACTTTAATCAAATATGTTTACTAAAAACTATAATATCAAAAATTAAACATGTTTATAAAATATCACTATATCATGAATAAAAATATTCATTAAAAAAGTGATGTATGAATTGTATACGTGTTTAATTTATGATATTATAATTTTTAATAAACACATTTGATTAAATTTACAGTGTTAAATGATAAAAATATTTAAACTAAAAGTACAATATTGTAATAGAAATTGGTGATATAATAAAATAATTTTGAAAGTACAATACTACAATAAGAATGTCATGTCAGCATTATCGTACATGTGGACAACCTTTGTGGACGATGAGGTGTAAAAAAACTGATATAATGGATAAATTTAATTTAAAAGCTTACCCAATGTTATAAGAGGTAAATTTTTGAAAGTACGTTGTCCTAATAAAAAATATTTTGAAAGTACATTATTGTAATAAGAAAAACTGAAATTACAATGCTATAATAAGAAAATTTGTAAAAGTAGGTTGTTATTTCACGCATTTTTATCCTTTATAAAATGTTTGTACAAGTTTTTAACAATGTCATCATTGTATTTCTTTATGTGTTATCACAAGATATTTTATCTAAAAATTGAGAAGCTACACTAACATATTGAAGCTTAAATTTGAGTTTTTAATGATTCACAAATATAAAACACAAACACCTTAACTGTAAAAATCGTTAAAATTGAATCTTATTTTTTTATTTTTTTATACTGTATTTTTTTGTTGTTGCTATAATCAAGTTTATTTTATATTATAATAGTTATTTTTATATCATTAATAAAGAAGTTAAGAAAACCTTTTGGATTCGTCTCTCACTAAAAGTCAACGAATAACTATCTTGGTCATGTTATTGACGAGGCTCGTCAACCTTACAAGTTAGCTCAACTGACAATAAAATTTGGGTTTTGAAAAATCCTCAAAAGTTATTGATTCAAGTCATGCAAGACCACTGAGGTTTTCATGACTATTCTTTAAGGCCTTTAAGATTAGTCAAGATGCATGTAATTTATTCTGGACATCGATGGTTAACCCAAAAAAAAATATTCAGACTCGACTTATCACTATAGTGGATAGCAACCACTCGTTACACACATCAATTTCGATTATAAATCAACATTAGAGTAAATTACGATTCTTGTCCTTGTGGTATGATAAAATAGCGGTTTTGGTCCCTAAATTTCATTTATTACATAAAAAGCCATGTGATTTGTACTTTGTCATGGTATTGGTTCCTGGACCAAACAACCATTCATTATCTTTGTTAACTATGACAACATTTTTGGCTTTTTTTTGCCATTTTTCTCCATTTTAATGCTTTTTTTGTTGAACATTCATCTTCTCCGTATGAATAATGAAGAACATCAACAATATACCACAACAATTTAGTATAATTTGATTCCAAAAAGTTTGTGGTATAAACGCTAAATCAAAAACAAAACTCAAACATTAAATCATTAATGGAATCGTGAGGTGGGTGTGGCAACAAATGAATCTTGGACGTTGGTGTCCAGCACAACCCCAAAGATGGGGATCATAGACTTGATTCTGACCAAAGATAAAGGCTTTTACATGCATTAATTTTCATCAAAGCAATGAGCTGAAGGGGGTTCCGTCGAGTCAACTAGGGGAATTGGTTCATCAGAGTTGGAGAGGGGAGGGTTTATCAGAGTAGGGAGGGAGAAGAGTTATTGGAACGGGGAAGGTGTTCAATGTATAGAGCAATGAGGGTTCTATTAAGAAAAAAGTTAACTTTAAAATTGATGGAAATGACAAAAAGACCGAAATGCTCCCATCATTAACAGATCTAATAGATGGTCGTTTGGTCAACGGACCAAAACAGTGAGAAAGCAAACCACGTTCCCTTTTATGTATTTAAATTTAGTAAGCAACAAACCTTAATTTACTCTAAAACATTAATTCTTTTGCAATTTGTTTTATCTGTATTATAACACAATGAATGCAGTAAGCTTTATTCGTGCCTACATGTATGGTTATTCTTCTTTGAGTTTGTACCCACCACCACTACACCAACAAATGACGCCACGACAGATGGAAGAACAAAATCAAATGGATTTTGAATATGCTATTGTTCGTCACATCTTCTTATATGGTTCGAACAAGAAAAGAGTATGAAACGTCTTGAGTTGATTGTATGGCCCTCCCATTTGCTTCTGTGAAACATCTATATTTGATTGTTGCTTATGTTCTCACAATGGTCGGTGGATTAGGATAGTTTTCCATTGTTGCCTATGTTCTTCGTAGTGTGTGAGAGAGAGAGAGAGAGAGAGAGAGCGAGTAGCTACTGAAGGAGGGGTATGGGCGTATGGCTGGAAAAGAGAGGGGTGGCTGGACGATTATAAAACTTACATAAGATTATTACAACTTGTACAATAAGAAAATTCTTTAAAACAAGTTGTCTACTAGTACTTAATAAAACTAAAGAAGGAAACCTTATTTTATTTTTTTTATTATAAAAACATGGAGTATATAGAAAAGAAATCGACAGCTAGGCTACCCATGGAATCAACTTGATAACATGACATCCACGTCATCAAACGTTACTGGATCATTGAATTGCCGGTTAAAATATGTACAAAATACGAAAATATGAAAGTTTATTTCTTGAACAACCTTCAAGAAATATCCCTAACAATTGAACAGGCTTCAAGAAATCTCCAAACAGTAAAAAAAAAAACTACAATTACCTTAAGAAAACTGTTGCAACCAATGGAGAAGAAGCCATGAATGAGGCTTTAATTGGGGGATGATGTTTTGTGTATTTTTAGGTTGTCCCTCCAAGAAAAAACCCAAAAACTTGTGGTTAAAGCAGTGCAGTGCAATTGACCTACTCATGATCCATGATTGCATGTGGGAAAGGGTCTTTTTTGGGCACTAATCTGATTGAAATAAAAAAGAATGTTATGACAGCAACATTAGTCAAAAAAGTTAGATAAAGCATGTCAACCCACTCCCAGATCAGGGCTCAATGGACCACAAACAGTTTAAAGCACATGCCCATCACAAGAACAAACCATCATTACCAATATCTAAAAGAAACCCACCCACCAACCCATTCAAAAAGAATTCTATAAAAAATTCCATAAAAACACATTCAAAAAGGCAAAAACAATCATCAGCTTTTCAAGACTCCTCAAAACAAGTTGGGTAAGAAAATTAAGCCAACTCTGATACAAAGAAATGGTTCATTGTTCATACAAAACAAGTTTTTTACCACTTTGATTACTTCATTCATGGGTTTTTTTTACATGATAACTTCACCAATGGGCAAAGAGTACAACAAAAACAAAGCCATCTAAAAGCTACAACCTCACACAAATGACCAGTTAACAAAAGAGAAAGCAAGGCAATGAACAGTACTTTCATCGGCTGCAAGAACCTTCCATGCTATCGCCTGTTCATATGATATGTGACGCCCCATCGTTGAAAGACAAATCCCGCCAGGTAAATGCGTAAATCCCTGAAACCCAAGTAACTTGTGTTCGTAAAGATGCATAAAGTTGGTTTCTTTTATGAAAATTTTTCGAAATGGAACATGAAATATATACCTGTTGCATTATCTTGGCAAATTCTGGAACCAGCGCCTTTCGTCCAGAATCATCAAACATTTTGTCTAATGTGATATCTTGCAACGCCACAAGAGTAGTCTCCAACATGTCGAGCCCTGCCTGATTCGCAAATAAGAAAACCGGCAACGACTGCAACCCAAACCAGATACACATTGGATTAAAGCTCGGTGCTTTATAGATTCAGAAAGAGATTTCAAGATTTCTTGTTAATACCTTCAATGAACAGCACAAAATTGCATCTTGATGCTGCCAGAGATCTTTCAATAATGAGTCTCCAACAATCGAACCAGAGCTTAGTAAATCTGTTCCTAAATGGTATCTGAAAAAGACCAGCATAATTAGAATCATGTGTCCCTGTGTTTTAGAAGCATTTGTGGTGTGGCAGATGACTTACGTGTAGCTTTGGCAGATCCATTGAGCAAGAGTGAGTGCTTCAGGCGAGCCAGGAGATGACTTTGGACCCATAGATGGGCTCAAACCAGAAGGAGATATGGCCATGGCAACTCTCTGAACAGAGTTGATCACACTTCTAACATATTGGCGAGCCATTGTAGCCACGCTTTCCGCTAGATTGTTCTCAAAAGGAAACTGAAAGGCAATGGTTAACACCGACCTTGTGTTTTGGCACATTGTCATATCAGTTGAACCATGATTCGTTGCTGGGCTAACATCTAGACTGGAAGTCAGGTCCAATGTTCTATGTGGTGTTGCCAATGCATTCTTCACATCATTCTGGTTTACAGATATCAGTTAGTCAAAAGGGTCGAAAGAGAGGAGGGAAAAAAACATTAAAAAAAGGTAATCATGAACTCAACTGATTTGGGATCCAATGGAATGATACGAAAGCCAGAGGGTACAAGGGGGGCATCATCTGGAAACATTTCATCAATTGGAGCAAAGACAAGTTCAGAACAAGCTCCCACAGCATTTTCATCAATTCCGCTGCATAGCTAAATCCGAAAGATAACAACAATATCATGAACACCGATTCGTTTTCCAGAACTGTATCGGTATCAAATGTACATAGTTATAAAATGTTGACCAAATCACCTGCAAAAGATGAATGTCTCTTGACATGAAAGGATCCTCTTGTCCAAGTGCATGACCTTCGAGTCTTACAACCTCGAGCATCTGATTGCCACATGAAAGCAAAACTCTTGAATTTGTACACATACATAAGTATATATAGGAGGCTATTCATGTGGGAACCACAACCAATCTCATATTCTTTCACACGAATTTGTTTCATCCAAGGCCAAAATTTAAGGTATTGTTTCACCTTTATTTATTTCGCAATGTAAAAGATCATGGGAAGGCAAAAAAAACTACCTCTTCATGTTCAATCGTGTGGCCAAGAGGCATGATAATCTGGCTACCAGTGAACCTTGTGGGTCTCATTCCTGGATATGCATACGGGTTGGCCTTCACTGATGCAGCAGAATATGCATCCACATTGAAGTCGGCCCACTCCGAGCGATGTTCTCTTAAGAAACGAACCAATACCGCTGGAGGTACGTTCTGGGTACACAAGATGATAATCATGTTCAAGAAACTCCTTCAAAAACTAAAGATGCATCCTTTTGTAAAGAACTCGATATTAAAACTTACTTGGAAAAGCATGGAGGCCTTTGCACAAAGAATCCCTCCAAGAAACGAGAGGGAATTAGAAGGATTCATGGAGTTGTTCAGATTCTTGGTCGAATTCACTGCAATGATCACATCTTCCGCACCATCACAGTTCATAAGCGACCAGCCATCATCACTGAATCCGTTAATGGCATCATTGAAGCCTCTGTAATTGGAAGCAAATGGCAGAATTTAAATTACCAAAACAAGCCTGAAAATATCAACATTAACAAAATATCATGAAAGATTTGGAATCTACCTGCTTAATCTTTGACTTAGAGTTCTCAAAACGGCCGGTTGCCTTCCCAGACCATAAACCACTTCTCCACTCGACTCCTGAGCTATTTGCCTAATATAGCGCAATGCCTACATTCAAAAGCTAAACAAATCAACCAAAAAGAACATCTTTACCATGAGAATCACTGAGTTTAAAAAGTAGATTCTACTCACTGCAATAGTCATCTTTTGGGCTACAACTTTTGAAGATTCATAAAGTGGACGAAGAACCTCTGGCACACTCCACGGCTACATAACAAAGATTCCAACTTTAGCAATAAGAAGTGTTACAAATGGAGCAAAGAAGTCTTTTTGTTTACCTCAAGATTTAGATGATCAACTATGTGTATAATGGAACCACCACCATCACAAGGGCGAATGAGGTAGCCACTCGGCAGCATTTCTCCTCTTACAAACTGATTGGCAGCTGCTGCATTAGGGCCAGCACCAGAACCCGTGAGGGATCTCTCACATACCTTAAACAGCAAAAAACTAAGAATTTAAATACCCATTTGAGATAAATAAAAAACAAATCAAGAAGTGGATAAATAACTCGTGAAATGTTCTCATAAACGTACCACGAGACTTCCATTTTCTAAACTTGTAGTGTATCTTAAGGTCCAAAAATCCCTCGCAGGAGCCAGTGTGGTTGGAGCAAAGATCTACATGCAAACTCGATCATTAATTTGCTGAAAAAACGCAAATGCAGCAAAACCAACCCGATTGATAGTTACCTGCGTATATACAAGTTCGATTGTCCCCCCATTTCCAGCAGGAAACATTGTGTAAACTTCAAGACTCCGACAGTCACGGAACCAAGAAGGACGATCTTTAAGGATCTCAACAATCTATGAATCACAGAAATCAATTATAACAACCCTCATATCTATAAAAAAAAAGTTTAACTGTTTACGACTAAGTGACAAAAGGGTTTTACCTTTGTCGGCTCTAAACTTACAAGACCACAGGCTCTAGCTGCCACTCCACTGCAACTCTGTGAAATGGCAAAGATCCCAACCGAATCCGGACCAGGCTGAAAAAGGTTCAAGTTTGATAACAAATTAAGACATTTTAATCAAAGATGAATATGACTCTTTTCAAATAGATGCATTAGAAACCTTCATCCCAGGCATCTGGACCCAATCAACAGCAGTTCCTGTAGCCTTTGAAAGGAACTCTGCCAAGGTCTCCTCTGCGATCGAGAGTAGTCTGCCAGAAACACAAATAATAATTAGATCATAATGCCAAATAACACATAATCACCAATTCAAGAAACCGATAACAATATCACATTACCCAGCCGGGTTATTAGCATCTCGCATAGAATGCTGGGGAGTGGTAACCACAGATTCACAGCTGGCATCTGTACCTGCCGAACCCTGGAAAGATTAACAATTTAAGATCATGAACATTTAGAGACAGAAAAGCCCAATAGGAAGATGGATCTCGCACTACAAATTTATCAAATTTTTAGCAATCAAAACATCACCAAAACTCATAACAACCAACAATCGGTATACAAACATACAGTGTGCAACTGTTGGCGCATATAACCATTTTCGTTTACAAGCTGCGACACTTGTTTCTGCAGCCGATCGTTCTCCTCCATCAATAACTTGTTCATGGCAGATAGTTTCTTGTTAACTGTCTGGAGCCGAGAAGACTCTTTCCGTTGCTTCTCTCGACATCTACACACAGGATAACAGAACTCTAACTTAAAAAACCAAAGAACAACCCACCATAATTGTAAATCATCACTTAATTTTACCTACATTCCATTTTCCTCTTTTGATTCCTAATTCAAATCTATAAAAGCACATGCTTTTCTAATTAGATTTCCACATCTAATTAAACCCAGAAACCCAAATTGGGTGCAAAAGAATTAGAATTCTAAAACTGGCATATATGGTAAAGGGAGATACTTCTAGTTTAGATTTAATCCTAACACTTGCATCACAAACTACAAACTGTGAGCATGTGACTAGGTTCGCTTAAATGATGACTCTTGACAGTATAATTTCAAAGATATAAACCTATATAACTCAATTACAACAAAAACTTATAAGATCAAACTTAACATAAAAAGAAAGATAATACCCAATTGAGAAAGTATCAAGAAACAGAAGAAATCCTATTTATACCTGCGATTCTGAAACCAAACTTTGATTTGCTTAGGTTCTATGTTGGACAAAATAGGGCATTCCCGGATCAATTGTTGTCTTCTCAAAGAACTGGGTTTCGGGCATTCTGCATAAACCCTTTCCAAAGCTTCTACTTGTTCTGTAGTATACCGTACATACTTCCCATTATCCAACTGATGCTTGGTGATGCTGTTGTTACTGCTGATCTCCTTATGCTGTTGATGTTGAACTACCATCGCCATGAAAACCCAACTCAGATATCACCAATCTTTTTCTGGGAATTCCTCAAAAAAAAATCTTGAAAAGTTATCGAGGAATAAAAATTGTATGTTTCTTTGTTTGTTTATGAAAATGAGAGGCGGAGAGAGGTGATTTGAAGGGACGAAGACAACCCCGATTCTTGCCAGAATATTCCCCTAGAAATAGAGAAAGAGCCCTACGCTTTTCTTTTTTATATAAGTTCTCACTCAGCCAAAATTTCACCGATATACAGACAAAATAGCCTGCTTCTCTTTTTTAACTAGTTCGATCAGGATTGCTGTTTGTACACACACTTTTAATCTAGCACGAAATGTTCAGACTTTTCACACTAATTTTGACTCAGCTTTTTTGGGTTAAAACCCCTTTAAAACACGAAGAAAAAAAAAGATGGTGTAAATAGGGAGTCAGTGTTGTTCAAGACTATGGATTTGTCAAGAAACCTTGAAACCCAGAAAGGAAATGAAAGAAAAATGAGGAATTAAAGATTGAAAAGGGTGTTTGAAGTTGTGTTTGTTTGTTTCTCTCCCTATCTTCTTGGTGTGGAGAAGAAGAGAGGCAACAGAAGCAGCATTAGAGAGATGGATGAAGGAATAGAGAGGGGGAAACCCTAGACATGTTTTTTCACAAGGCAAAAACAGCAAGACAACAAATACAGAGAGAGAGAGAGAGAGAGAGAGAGAGGGTCGTCTTGGAAATCCAAAAATGACAGTGTTATATGCTGCTGGTGCGCGCAGCCTCGAGCCAGCCTTTGGTTTGTGCAATTTTACTAATTTTTTATTTTATTTTTTTAATAAAATACAACATACATTCCCTCCATTTACAAAACAATACTTGTACTAAAAATATTCATACATGTTTTTCTATTTATAATTTGGAAAATTAATTAAAATAATTATTTTTGTTAATTTTTCCTTTAAATTTTATAAACATATTAAAAAGCCAATTAAATATCATATTTTTATCAGTTACGGTATATAAATATTATTGTATTTTTTTCAAATAAATATTTATGTTGTTATTTTAGTTTATTCTAAAATAAATATGTATTTTTAAAAATAATTTTTTACTCTTTAATTATGATATAAATAAAGAGTTATAGTTTATCATTAAAGGTAAATTTTATTTAACAAAAACAACATTTTATTTTTATTTTTTCCAAAAATATCAACTCGTATTATACATAATATTATTTCTTCACGTAAAAAAGTGAAGTGATCACGATAATTACGGTGGTGAACACGTCATCATTCATATAAATACGAATCTCGTTCATGAAAAAAAACCGTAATGCATATACCATATATACTTTTATACACAATACTCGTGTCCGTTACAAAAAGGAAAAAACTTATTACCATTTATATAGTTAATAATGTGATTAATTTTATCAGATATGAACTAATTTATCAGTTATCAGTTAATAATTTATTAGTTACCTTTGTAACAAAATAAAAGGAAAGATTTGAGATATGACGTGAGAGAGTGAAGGCACCGTGGCGTTGGTTATTAAATGGGTATGGCAGAGCACTATACTTGGGTCAAATCCAGCAGCCCCTCCTACCCCCATTACCCTATACAAAATCTAATTTAATAATTATTTTTTAATTCTAATAAATCTTTTTTTCTTCTTCAAAACATATTTTTTAGAAAAAAATTATATTATATAAATTGGATGAAAAAGTAAAATATTTTAAATTGATTTTTATTGTAGGTAATATATTTTTAAAACTTTTATTTTAGTATATAAAATATAAAGTTTTAAGCATTTAAGTATTCGGGTAACCGATTAAAGCATTAACCAGTTATCATGCGGACAAGGCGAAAATGATGCAGTATTCAGCTTAGTATCATTTGTTGACATGGTTAGTGACATAGATTTTTTAAATCCAAAATTAGTCTTCAACCGATTACTCAGGTACTTAAATATTTAGGAATCAGACTAAAGTACGTTACCAATTTTTTTATGATTTTTTTAATGTTATAAGATCCGTGACACCTCCTTAATTTATGTAGGAATCATGGTGTAAAAAAAATTGAACCAAGTCTGCAAATACATAGACCAAATCTGTAAATTAGTCCCAACACTTCTGCACGAAGGTGTCACTTGCAGACCTTCATCAGGTTTACGTATTTGGTCCCTACGCTTTATTTTGATAATATATAATTAAATTGGATCATATATAACCGTAAACTAAACTACCATCGTTTATCATCAATACAACAAAAACAAGTACAACCATCATGATGAGCACATTAAGTAATAACCAACCTAGCAAAAACCAAATACACATCTCGGTTGTATTGTTAAACAGATATAATACTTTATATGACATGTCTGATTCAGCTAACAGATATACAGTAATAAAAGAATAACATGTGAATGAAATGAAATGTTATGTTGGTTGGATAAAGTGTAGGTTTTTGGTCCCATATATTGTTTTAGATGATTGAAAATGAAGGAATATAGAAGTGGACCAAGAGAGGGGCAGGGGAGATGACAACATGGCATAAGTATGGTTTCTTAATTCCAGACCAACATTATACAAAAGCCATTTGCGCATGTAACATGGTCCCTCCCATTATTTCACCCACTTTTGCCCTCACCTCTTTCTAAAAAAAATCAAAACGAAAACGTCCGTACGCGTCATCGTAACGTTGTAAGCCACAAATCTTGGTTACAGTTACGCGGGTTTGAGCTGATTTCAATTGTATTGTATGTGTTGGTCTCGTACTATTTGTTGGTTTGGAGTTAAACTTTGAGTTTTGAGTGGATTGGTGTGATTTAGTTGAACTTAAGGAGGTTCGAAGGCTACTGTCGTCAACCACCATAATGGTGGAACTGGTCCAACATTAAAGAATCTGAAACAAGGTCGTTTTGTCTCCGTCTCTAATAAAATCGGTAGGAAATTGTGTAAGTAAATATACCATCAATGTTTAAGTATCGAGTACATGGATGATTGGTTTTGGAACTTTGAAAATACCTGTTTTGTAAGATATATCTGTTGAATGGTTTTAAATTCTGAAAAACGTATATATGGATAATAACACAAGCTTGTTTTTTAACTAACTGGATGAGTTCTGGCAGGGAATAAATTAAAAAATTGACTTATCATGTATGAAATGATGATGCATGCGTAAGTAGTTTTGGATAAAATGGGCTATTGATGATTAGGTTTTCTGATTAAAATTAATTGTTGTTGGCATAACGTCATGGTATGTGGGCTCAAGTGTACAATGAATCTAGTTATATGATGTTTTATCTCATAATCAAATCTGTATTATTGGGATCTAATTATTTATTTGATTCAATAATTATCGATGTATACTCTTTGCTTGTTGTGATGTCCATGTGCTATGACACACGCGTTCAATATGACTGGTAATTCATTTGATTACGCTATTATCTGATTATAACATAGTCATATTTGAGACCAGCTAGGGCTGGGGCAACCCAGATGACGACACAAGACATCACAACCTATGGGGCATCAACCAATAATCTAGTCTACCGCTACCCTAGGTTCGTTTTGACTTTTAATTTTCCGGTCTCTTGATTCTTGATTTAGGTTTTCTTTTCTTATATTTGATTTAACGTGTACGCCTTTATGTCTTTTCTAGTTTGCTAATGTGTATCTATCTTGGTTTCTCGATGTTATCTGCTTTATGTTTGTGGTTTGATTGGTTGTTCGTTGTTTATAATAATATTAAGCTTGACAGTGCCCACCAATTATTGAAGAAATGCCATAAACACAACCATTGTGACATTCTGTTAGTTTAATTTAAAATATTAAAAGATTGGTTACATAGTTTGATTATTGATCTTGAGTACACTTATTTTACTTGTTCTCTTTGCATCTTTTGGCATTTATGTCTTGGGGGTTGGGTTCACATGAGACCAACATGTTTTCATGAGACTCGTGATATCATTTTTTTACATTTGAAAACTTCACAGTAAAACGTTGTGAAGGTAAATAAAAAGTCGAATCTTCACAGTAAAAACACTGTGAAAGTTATCTTCATAACATTTTGCTGTGAAGTCTCAAGTGTAAAAAGTGATCTCACGAAAACAGACTGGTCTCACATGATTCCAAACCTATGCCTTAATGATAGACAATTACAATTTATTAATACATGATGGTCAATATTTAGCCTTTAAAAGAATGGAGGGAATAGGCGGTGTGATATATAGGAGGCGTCCATGCTTTGCTAGTTTCTCTTTTACAATATATCTAGTTGATGTAGGCGTTACTAATCACATACTTAAATTTCATTTAGGGGTTGTTTGTTAGTGACTTAATGAGTTTAATAGGGTTCACAACATACTCAGTTGATCATAAATGATTATTTGATAGTGATTTAATGATATAAAAAATGACTTATTCAATAAACTTTTAGTGGAAGACTATATGCAAAAAAGCCAAAAATTTCTAAACATGTCATTCCCAATTATAAAACACGTACATTTCATCTATGAAACCTCTCTCAAACAAAAAATCTTCAAAATCCACACAGTTAGATTATTTCACACCAACAGTTTATTTATACAAGACTTAATGGGAACCAACCAAACAACCCTTTAATGACATATAACATTGTCATTCTGCATAAGTCTCATGGTTTTCCAGCTTAACGAGTTGTTTGTCAATTTGGTTTTCATAAACACCAATTCATTTAGCATGTTAAATAGGATTGTTCATCGGTTGACATCCATTGGATGTGAGGGGAACCGCACTGATCCAATCATCATTGGATGTTGGATTTTGCCAACCGATCTGATCCGATTAACATTGAACAACCAATCCAATCAAATACAATGAATTATTGGATCGGTTCAGTTCCATCCATTAGAAACTTTTATTGAATATCCAATTGATGATCCGTTGAGATTTGACACATCAAATGTGTTAATTCAATCCAATTCACCAACAATAATACAAATTGATTAATCACTTTTAATACGTGTTAAAACCAACACAAGGGAAGTTAAAAATTCAAATTCCCACATTAAAACAAATTCAGATTTAAGCAATTTCAAAATAAAGTAATTGAATGATAGTTGGATGGACATCCTATATGGTCATTAGATGATTAATTGGATGTTGATCGGTTCGATTCGGTTTTAGTCGGTTCTATACTGTCATCCGAGAATCGACCGATCCAAATTGAATGTTGAAATTTCCAACCTGATCCGACCCAATTACAATTAGACATCCAATTATGATCGATCGGTTCTAATTGAATCAGTCAGTTCCAATTAGATCGATTGATTTTTTACACACCCCCAATGTTAAAGATGTTCTCTAGATCCTTAACTCTCATATCAACCTTTCCAACGTCTTCTCAAAATAGGTTCCTATATGCACTCCACAACCCATATTAACAATCATTCAAACGACACATCTAATTACATATCTAATAATTTGTTGCATACGTAAATTGCTCAAAAACATTAACAATTAAAAAAAATATAAATGTAATTTTTATTTTTGATAAATATATTAATTTCTACTAACATAAATACTGCTTTGTACAATAAAATAACGAGATTAAAGAAACGAATTTTTTAATCTAGAAAAATAAATGATAAAA